TTTAATAATATAATTTATTTCTTTTAAGACTGGCCTATTTTATTATCTCTTTATGGTTTTAACCTTATTAGCCTTTATTAACCCCCTTGCCTTATTTAGCTTTAAGGCCTTAATATATTTATATACCTCTTAGCCTAAATATATAATTAATTTAAATATTATTATAATTATAGTTAGTTTATATATAATATAAAAGTTAATTATATATAATATTATATATATATTATAATTAGGCTTTATAATAAAATTAAAAATACCTTTAAAAACTCTTTTAAAAAGTTTTAATTTACTTATTTTTTATTAGGTTTTATTAGTTTAATACTAATACATAGTATTATAACAGAAATAGTAAATATGCAAGGGATAAGAAAGTCAAGCTAGGATAGAGAAATTACATAGTTATCTATAGTAATAGGCAAAAGGGATGCAATTCTAGTTATAGCTTAGGATACATACTTCTTTTAATTCTTTTTTTTATACCAAATTCAATATGCTTTTTAACTTAACTTCTAATTAATAGACTAACCATTCTGTTTTATATCATGTAAAGAAAACCCGGTCTTAATTAAACCTGAATTACAGGATGTAATTCAGCTTGTAGTTAAGAAGATATATAATATAGTTATTTTATGTTGTATTTTCTTGATATTGCTTCCTACCTTTTATTACCACCCCTGCAGCTATAATATATAGCTCCTATAAATTCTATTAATTATATAAGGATTACCTCTCTTACTTATAACCCTCTTCTATTAGATTACTTAAATTAAAATACTTTAAAGCTAAATTATTATAAATTACTTCTAATTCTTATAAATCCAGCTTTTAGATTACTTTTATTTCTTATTAAGCTATATAACTACTTTTAATATATAAATTATATATACTAATACTTTTATAAATTCTAACTTATTAATTATTAATAAGACTTTCTTATATTAACAAGCTTAAAATATATTATATAATTATTAATAAATATAATAATTATTATTTAATTAGTATTTGCCTTATAAACTTTATAATATAGACTTAATATATATTAGTTTATTTCTTAAGGAATTGTAATTATTATATTTTATATTAATTATAAGTAATTAGTAAAAATATAAGATATATAAAATACTAAATAATTATCTTATAATAATTAATTTAACTATTATAAGCTAATATATATATTATTTAATAAAGGTAATAATTATATTATTAAGATAAATAAACCTTATTTAATATTAACCTTTATTATAATAATATATTATAATAATCTCTCTTTTAAAGTTATTAGTAAAAAATCTATAAAGCTAAATAGCTTTTTATAAAATTAAAAGTAAAAAAAATAAATTAAAAAGACTTTTATTTCTTTATTTATAATTAACTTATTATAATATTAAAGTAAATTTTAATATCTTTAAGTATTTAGCTTTTTAATTAATATTTATAAAACAATATAATTTAATATTTAAGCCTAATTAAATAGCTACTTAATAGAATTTAATATTAATATTTAATAATTTTAATTATATTATATAATATTATATAATATTAATTAATATTATATCTTATATTTTAATAATATAAAATAAATAGATAAATAGTTTTATTTTTATTTTTATAAATTTAAATCTTTTATTTTTATAATATTTTAATTTTAATTTATAAATATTAACTTTAAATAATATTTATTAACTTTAAGTATAAAATAAAATTTATTTAAATTAATTAGTAATTTAGTTCTACTTTAAATAATTTAACTTAAAAATATAAGTAAGATAATTTATTTTATTAAATATTTTAAGTTAAATTGCCTTTTAATAATACTTAAGTTGCTAACACGTTTAAGTTGCCTTAATTAATTCTTTATTAGGTATAGCTTAATAAATAAATAAAAGGAAGTTCTAATTTTATTACTAGCTATTAAGCATACCGGAGTATTAATATCCTTAACTCTACTAAAGGGGACTACCTATCTTAACTGTATTTTATACTCCTCAAGTAGACTTTTCATAGTATTAACCCTATATTGCAGCCATTATATCTCTGGAAGATTGTTGCCATTAGCGCATGTAGTGCAGAGGTTGCTTCAGCAGATTCCTTGCAGCTTATCTGAGTAATAAATGCTAGCTCGTTTTCCAACGCAGCACTTCTATGTGTGGCGCACAGAGTTGGTCAGTTCAGTGGGATTTATTATTCTCGGTCTAGCGGCAAATAGCTGTTTTCATTGAGCAATGGGTATTGCGGAAAGTGGAGGTCATCTAACTAGATAATAATCATTTAAGGAGATAGAGCATATTGCCTCGTCTTAAAGCGTATATACTATGTTAGTGGCCAGTCTTAACATTTACAGTTTAAGAGATAGCAATATTACCAATATAGTAAAGTATTAAGGTATCCAATTGCTATATTATTAAAAAGCAAGAAACTACTTACTGCCATATTAAGTTCAGTTTGCACTTCCCACTGTCACTTCGGTTGTTCTCTTTAGCCTTCTACCCATATGATACCGACTTGGATTCCGCGCAATATCCTCAAGTGGAATATTATTAAGCCTTTTCAGCAGATGAGACCGCTTACTGTCTTCAATCCTTGGAACTGACGAAGAGCCACTGTCTGAAGAGGTTACCGAGGCAGCATTCGAGTAAGGGGTCTCAACCTGAAGCATATGTGAAGGAGGCAAGTTCTCAGCAACTGATTCGTGCTGCTCAGACACTATTTCCACAGGTTTAGTCTCTGTAACGACCTGCACATCGGGTAGATACCAAGACAGCCATGCAGATATAAGCATCAAAGGCATCAGAGCGAGCAGCCTTATTCCAAGGTTTTTTTCTTTGTCCCCGTGTCTCGTTGCAAAGATGATAACGCGGATTATAACGGCACCGACCTTTCCTGAAGCTGCAGCTATGCCGTTGAATGTGCCTCGATAGGTAGTTGGGAAGATCTCCGCGGCGAGCACAAAAATGAGGGTGTTGGGACCCAAGTTGAAGAAGAATTGAAGGATCCCATAACAGACAACAGCGACATGGTGACGATCGCTAGCTTCACTACCAACCAGCGTTCCTCCTGCAATAGCAAGAAGGACTGTAATGGCCAGGAATGTCGCAATCAGAATCACCTTTCTTCGGAAGAAGTCAATAATGAGAATTGACCCGATGCTACCGACCAGTGAGCCAATAGAAACAATAACAATAGATCTGAGGGCATTCTGCTCGATCATGTTGGAGATGGTGTTGTTAGAATTCCAATAGTCTTTATTCCATGGGTCATCTCCACATCCTTTAACAACATTATCGGAAGCCCGTCGAAAGTGGTGCATCACTCCAGTGGGGGAACTTGGATCATGAACCAATGTGGCCAGCGTATTGCTCAAGTCCATCGTCAAGCCGTACCAGGGAACATCCATAATAGCCCAGAGAAGAGATATGAGAACCAGTGGTCTCCATCCTTTCTTTGGTCCAGTCAAGTAGTCACACGCCTTTCCGTACCAAGTGTACCATGGCTCATCTTCATCAGTTGGTCCACCTGTCGAAAGATCGCTGTCTGTACCAATCTCTTGGATGTTCTTGTTCCGACCATACAATTTCATCGCGTTGGAAACACCTTTGCGCGGATCCTTCATAATTCCAGCGTGGAATCTCGGAGTTTCGGGTATAGTTAGACGAAGCAATATAGCTATTGCTGCAGGAATGAGAGCGACTCCAACGGTCCATCGCCACACCCTGTCTATCGCTAGTCTTCTTGTTTCTTCATCATCACCCGGATGTGACCCGCGCAAGGCGCCCAGACTGACTGCGTAAGATAGGAGACGTCCCACCGATTGCATGGAGAAGACTGCTGAGAGCATAACTCCCCTGGACTCGGTCGACGCCCACTCTGCAGTAATGATACTGGATAGAGGATACTATAAATGTTGATTAGCTCGCGCTCCTGTTTCTCGAGATGGAAATGAGATTTACTTCTGCCCCTATACCAAATCCAAGTAGAAACCTCCACCAGGCTATCCAGGAATAGATATTCATTGAGCTTTTTGACATTTTGACGGCTGTATAGCCCTCAGAAGCTTGAACCATGCCGATGGTAGCGACGATCAAGATTGTCAACTCGGCTCCGTACCACTTCTTTCTTCCCGATCGATCAGCAAGATGCCCCATCAAGAGCATCCCCAAGATCGTACCGGTCAGGGTGAGTTCATCGATGATAAGGCCAGGGTCCTGTCCGAGTCTGTTGCAGGGTGGAAAGACATAAAAGAGGGCAATGGATAAGATGTCAACGGAAAAGAGAGAGTAAGAGGATGCAAGGAAGCCGGAAGCAGCGACGAAAAAGACTCTGATCTTGAAGCCGCCATCGTCGACGATCTTTGTGATTTGCTTTTCCCGTTCACGCGTGCTCTAAAAGAGGATTAGAAGCCATCGGCTTGGATAGTGGACACTTACATAGTCGATCTCAACCAAATGTTTCACTTCCTCGTTGTAGTCAATCCAGAAGCGACATCGTCTTCTGGACTTCTTTGCAGAATTAGACTCGATATGAGTAGGATGGGGATCCATGGTGAAGTTGATGCATGATAGAGATGATGAGCGACATTTGGAAGGACAAAGGGTTCCTGATTTAATTAACTGATCAATTAGTCGCTTAGGCTGACAAGGGTTTGCCTTCTGTTGCATTCTCAGCCGCAATCATTCCACCTAGTCGCAGAGCGCCTTGCTGACATATTTATCCCTCGAATCACAGAGCCCCACACAACCCCGTGGGTTAGATATTGGACTATCGCCATCGATATTATAAGAACCGCAACAAAGTGGCTGCATTGGCACCGCATTGGTTGCCGCTTCAAGGCAGATTATATCGGAGGTGATAATGTGACCAAGAAATGGATCCCTCGCCCCCAGTTCTGAGACAGGACGATCGCTACCCTGATTTCCTCACGGACCCTCAGCGACTTTAACTTCGACAATCCCATCACACAAGCCCGCGCTTATTGCAATGACTTACAACATGTCCCTGCAGACATGGAACTTGGGACTGTCTTAGCGGTTGTCTCGCTGGTACTGCAGGTCATCAAACTAGCGGACCAAGTTATCGAGAGCTTCGAGCGACTAAAAAACTCTCCACAGGAGCTAAGAGACTTTCGCCAATCTGCCGTGCGCCTGCAGCGCCATCTCGAGGCTTTCCAAAACGATGTTTCATATTATCCCTCGGGAGATATCTTGCATGAGGATGATGTTCACGAGATTGAAGAGACACTGACGTTGTGTAAAGACCTTCTTCAGCAACAGGTTACTTCATCGAAGGGCCCGGTTGTCACGACTGTTATCCGAGGTGTTTGGACATTTAGGAATAATCAGAAGCTTGTCAAGTACAAGACTCGTATTGATACGCACTATACCCAGATTTTGGTGCCGTGTTGGTTGAGTTCTTTAAGGCAAGCCTGCTCCACCAGTTCACTCCAAAACATGTCACTAATAGGGTTTCTTTTAGTGGCAGGCATAATCCCAAGCCTCCTCTTCTATTAGGCGAGGAAGATGATACATCCGCCGCCACAGAAATCTACAACAATACCCTGATAGACTCAGCGCAGCATGTATCGCCATCGCAATACCAAGTCGCGCCAGAGCATATACAACAAATAACCGAAAGGCTTGAGAAGCTCAAGACTGCCGACGGTAAGGACGCTATCGAGGAGACACTTCGAAGCATCGACTACGGATTGAGAACATGCTGGACAGAGCTGGGCCTAGTGGAGGAGGATCTCGACGATCTCATCGACTACCCAATGCCAAACATTAAACGTATGGCTGCCTATTCCTAGACTTGAGTGCTAAGGATGATTTACTAACGGTTGTACTTACTATAGGTCGATCAACACTCAGTTACGAAGACGCACCAACTACATTGTACGTGATTGTGGCGACATAGTCCCTCGTTCACTGACCTTTCTCAGGGAGTTGGAGAGTGCGCCGCAACAACATAGACGACTGCGTCTAAGACGACTTCATATTATGGCTCGAGATGATGCGTCTCGCATCTTGCAATATCAGAATGACGATTGTACTATACACGTCACACACGTCGGTACCGTTGTCTACGTCCTGCCAGAGAAGACCCTTGACTGATGCTTTCAGTACCTTACGGTTCTATACCTTGGACTCGCAACAAGTCCTCCAAGAGAGTTTCCTTCCTCAAGAAACATCTCGTCACCGTCGTCGACAGCGAGGGCTACCATATATATCGCCTCGATCCAAAATACAAATTCGAGGACCATGAAGCATGTGATAGGTTCCAGTCAACACTTCGCGAGAGAGAAGTCCGCGGCGCTTTTGAGGCTGTCGAGATCAAAGTCAATGGTCGGATCGTTGCTCGAAGACAAATGATACGATTCTGGCATAGGGCTGAGCGCGATGGTACCATGACTAACACCGTCACCTACTACATATCATCAGGCACCTCTGCTGGAGAATATGATGAGATTAACCTAGCTGAATTCCAAACTTCTGTCACAATTCCACGTATTCGACGTCTGTCGTGGGACATTGGAAGGCGAGTCGAGTCCAACTCAGTTAATCTCATGCCATCTCAGCGAGGTTCGAGGCAGTTGCACATAACGTTCGAGACAGATGAAGGTTAGTATTTTTTCTGATCTTCTAAATAGTTTGACCTAACTGTAGGTTAGAAGCAAAGAATTTCAAAGAGAGGTTCACGGCTATGCAGAATGGGGGCTTTTCACAACCTCCGTCGCTGATCGGTGATTGTTCTACTAGAGCAGAGTCGACTCTAGCAGGCACGCCTGTGATGGGACCAGGACCGGATTCAACGACAGTGCCGATTATTGCACTCGATCTAAGTGCCCAACAGGGGCTTTTCGAAGATTGGAATACGGCGGTTTTTGATGCTGGGGCTTGTCAGATCCGTGAGCCACTTTGAACAATTTCGTTTTAGCTACCTGGGCTAATCGAGCCTCATAAACATCCGTAATCCACAGCTGGATAAATAGCGCATAATTTTTAGATAAAATATGGGACAGATGTTTGGCTTTAACCTCACTGTTTCCAAGTTCAACTGATAAGAGACGAACTGAGAAGCTAGCTGCAGTGCTATCGAAAGATCATGAAGTAGTCCAGGGCACGCATATCTGGACTGTTGGCGACCGCTTGGAGCCCGGTGCGTACAGATTAGATGCACAACGCAACAGAGTAAAAAAAACTTCTCCTTGGATAGAAAAGGCTGGGTGACAATCTCGCTGACCATGTATTCCATGAATCCGTTGATAAGGAGTGTTCTCGGCTCAAAATGAAAGCATGGTTGTACCGATGCTCTAGCTTGGTAACAAGTCCGATCGATCCTAAATGACTTCGTTCCACAATACCAATGGGGTACAAGAGATGCCTAAATAGAGAAATCAAGATTACACAATATTCCTTCCTCTGGGGTGATGAGTTCGCTTCTCGCATAAGAAAGAAGCTTAAGCGGCTTTTCCTGATTGATGATCTTCCGAGCAAAGTTCTCGAAGACTCCCTCGGCTGAAACCGTATGAGAAAGTTTCCCAAATCGCGAGCATCACTTGCTAATCCCAAGACCGCGCAAAAGCGGTCTCTTGGATCAGTACTCTGTCGGGTTAAACAGCTTTGCACAAGATGCAGCATTCTTGGCTGTATTTGAGAACCCCATGCACGATTGGCCACCATCGACGTTCAATTAGACATCTGCATGACGACAGCTGGACCTGTACCTACACTGCCGCGATACAGCCCGTTGTGGGGAGAAAGTAACGGGGTCAGCAACTTATAAGCGTTGTCAAGGTCCTCCCAATCAAGACATTCCTGGCCACAAAACAAACTAATGCTACGAGCCAGCATGATTTCTTGGTAGATCTACAGTCCTGGCAACCATTCCCTCGAAAAGACGTGGCGTGTTGCCGCCCAAACTGCCAGCTCGAAGCCGTCAGTGTTTATGTTTAGCATAGGTAATTAGTAAATATTAGCTCTATTCAATGTGTGTAGTTCCTCCACAGCACTTAGGTTGGGGAGATCACGTTTAAAATAATACAGCAGATTTATAACATAATAGGTGGAGTTGATGCGCCAACGCTTGATAAACGCAATAACCTTCGCATTAGAGTTATCGGCTGCCCACACAGCTAATGCCTCAACCTTATAATTCAACTGAACAAGTACCCTAAATCCATAAGCATAAAAGAAGGCTTCCCTAGGCTTGACAACCCCAATTTCATCTCCACCATCAACATCAATGCTCAATCATAAATAAAGAAAAATAACCATTCTACCACAAAACGCGTCGTTATATAATCTACATCCCCTACAAATCCACAGATGACGATAAGGCGTACAAATCCTATACCTCACCCATAGTCCAAGACATAAAGATGTAGCTCATCGGAAAGTTGTACGCCTTCCTTCGCCACAACAAGATCACAAGCAGCTATTAAACAACGGAAAAGTGTTAGTAGATATACATACTTAGGGCATCGCCTTATAAACCTAAAAAATACTTTAAGAGAACAGTAACAAGGTATCTCACGGATAATTGACTTTGAACTATATACAGAAATCAAGTCAGAACATGACAGAAGCCCTAAGGAATATAGGCGGCTAACTCTGTCAAGGATTTAAATACTGAAGTAAATAGGGCGCTCCATGGTCAAGCAAAGCCACGTTTCAATCACTGTGATGTGTCGACAGCTGCATCGTAGCTAAGGCTCTCTCTCGTTCATATTCACAATCATGATCAAATGCAGCATAAAACCTCCTGGATTTGACAAAGAACTTGGGCTTGTCTTTTCTAAGACTGTATCAAATGGCCTATCACTCGGAAAGGGACCATTTGTCCAATATCTCCCGCGCGCATTGAGGGATATGAACATGTCGGTGTCGACCACGATAGAAACATCAGAACCCATATATACCCTACTACTCGGCGGACTGACATCGGGAGAGGAACGTCCGCAGTCACTGCTTGCACGGCGTCTTCGAACGCAATCCCGACGGCCTGCAGGGCATAGAACTTTTCACTAACAAAAGCCTCATCGGCGGCAAAAGAATACAAGCGACCCATGCAGTGATGCATGAGGCCGGACACCAGGAAAGTAAGAAAAAGGCGTGTATATCGCGAGAGGAGAGTGCCACGACTAAGGCAAAAAGTTTTGTCTGGAAGAAAATCTCCCAGACCTGTGAATGTCTTGCGGTAAAGCTGATGCCAGAACTTTCTATAAAACACTTTAGCAGGTAACCCAAAGGCTGGTACAGTGGATAGATCACTTACCCCCAGAAACCACGAACAGTGTAACAGGCGCTTATTGGCCCATTAAGATGCGGCCAGTCTTCTGGGTGGCTCAAGCCAATCACGAGGGATACGACAACTGCGCAAGCATGATTGAGTCGGTTGCAGACGAATGTTACCAACCAGTACCCAAGTGTGCTGAAGAATCGAAATAGCAAATCCTCTAATGATAAATTCGATAGCCTGAAAAGCGTTTGTTTTTCTCTCGTGATTAGATGGGTCTCTGGAGGTGGTCCGCTCATCGCCGCATCCATAATTAGATACAAGATGAAAATCTCGGCGACCTTGGTATATACGAGACGAGCTCGTGTTATTGCGCGTCGGTGAATCATTGAGGTCTCGCCTCGTACCCCAAAACGCCGCAGATTGAAATACATACCTGCAGCCCGAAAAAGAAGCGCCACAGTGCTGACGTGATTAACGCCGTCCTTTTCCGTCTTAGTGAATAAATCGACGGTATGAATTTGCGAAATGAGGATCTGCTCCGCGCTGCTAGTAAAGAAGCCCCAACTGAGGAGACAGATATTGGATTTCTGGGCGGCGGTAATAGACGTATCCAAGACCGCTATGTAGAAGCTGTACTGGAGGTAGCCCAGGGCTAGAGTTGCTCCAACACGAAGGAGAGTTGCATTCTTTGGCACAAACACAAGAGTCGCAGCAAAGGTGAATAGAAGGAAGCACCAGATTTTGGCGATGCCAATGACTGAGCTTCCATCGGTGTGGCCCATCTCGGTCTGCTAAGTGTTAATGCAGCTGGTGTGATACGAATTCTCCAGTGAACTTCGTGAAAATATCGGATGAGATTACAACCCGAAGTTGATTGAGAAATAAGGTACTGCGAGGAGCGGTCGGTCAACTTTGGATTTTGAGTGGGGGCGTAAGTAAAGGACTTTGGTGTCGCAATAAGCCTGCTCAAGTTTTGTTAGTGCTTACTGTTAGGCAACAAAGCCGGCCAATTAGCGGCGAAGCATTAAATCCCAGTGCTTCCGGACCTCAAGATAAGTGGTTACGCAATGCTACTGAATGTGTCCTGACTTGAGCCTTTGCAAATCAGGCGCATACCTGCTCAAGAGGATTACGCAACAGATCGACGATCTCCGATCGCAAAGACTAGATACCGAGATCACGCAGATCGATCAGTAAAGGAAGCGACAGGCTGGAGAGAAGGCGAGTATACAGGGCCGCAAGCAGCAAAGCCACCAGAGCTATACCCACTTCAATTAACCATAAAGACATAGTCTCACAAAGAGACTATCGCATCGTGGGAAAGGGCTTAGATGGCCGAAACACGTGGCAGAGCATCCTTCAGGCACACGCCTAAACCTTTTTGCAAGTTCTTATCTCTTTCGCGGTCACAAGTCTACCACGATGTCACGACTGGGGCGGGGAGCCAATCAAAATGACCGTGACAGCCGGTACCTCTGCTCACACCTAAATTGGTGTATGATATAGGTACCAACAGTCAGCATTGTTACATAAAGCTACATCGCATACCTTACAACCGTACCTGCTCAGTGGGCCTCGCGCATTTCCTGATAGAGGCTGTAGAGGGCCCCCTTTTCCCTTCCTTTTTTTGAAGGGTCGAGGCTGCCCTTGGCGGAAGCCTTTGCAAGCTAGGCAAGGGGAAGGGTTATTTCTGCCTCTGTAGACATGATTAATATCTCTTTGTATGTGATTTTGCCGTGCTTTAATATCCTCGGTGTCTTCTTCTTTCCCTGTGCAACCTCTCTTTCTTGTGTGACCTTCAGCAGCATACTTATTAAAAATGGCATTATAGATACATTCCTTCCAATCCTTTAGTGTTGTGTAGGGCTTCCAATGGGGCTGTGTCGTTTCTCGCTGTAAAATGAAGCTATTCGCAAGTGTGACTTCAAGGAGGAAAGACCATAGCAACGCCTGCCAAGGCCCTCGGCGAAAGCGATGCTCATACGTTGTATATGACCGTATCTGATCGCTGCGGTCCACGTGATTCATTTCATCGTTATACTGAGCAGCAACAGTAGGGATAGGGATTATCTTGAAGCTTTCCCCGTTGAAGTACTCTTGTAGGCGTTGTTGCTCTGCCTTTGTGCCTCTTTTGGCGGGCATTTTCCTCTTTTTTGGTGTGCGCTCATGAGAAGCTCCGCTATGCACAGTCGAAAGGAAAAGCACGATATTACTATCTTTCCAAGCAATTTGGATGACCTAGGGGGACATCAAAGAGACAGATCAGTAAGGGAAATATATAGAGAAGATGTCTTTACCTTGTCATCTTCTGTAGGGATAAATACTACCTCATTATACTTTAAAATAGAGCCATCAGGGGCCTTTCCGGTCTCTTTTATCTGCTTCATCTTGGTGTTGATACCACAGTTAGGCCGTGCCGTGCCTGTGGCCCCGATACCAAGCTGCCGAAGATGACGGAAGAGCTGCGGCGATGAGAAGAGATTATCTGTAAAGACGTGATATGTCTGAGTAGGCAGCCTTTTTAGCAGGTGAACCACGACGCTCTGTGTATTGCTTAGAGAAATCTCGGTTTGTAGCTTTCCTTTCTTGCCATAGGGCTTCGCTAAAGGTAGCTCGACGATAACAGCTTTGTATGGTGATGCCTTCACATGCCAAAGCCACTGTAAAAAGTAGCCCTGTTGCGCAACAGCCCAGACTTTGAAGCCTACCGGCGTAGGCTTATTCTTGACGACTGTTGTCTCTTTTGATCTGCCTATAAAAGGGACCATACACTCATCTACAGTGAGGTTAGTCCCAGGATGATAGAGCTCACACGACACCTTTTGTATGTGTTTAGACCACTCTTCAGCCGCTTGGAAGGTCTTTGGAAGGTCCCCCTCATTCGTCACATCAAGCTTGGTGTGGTCAAAGGTACGGAAATACCTTGTGATAAGCTCGAACTTCGTCAGGGGCATGAACTTGATGATTGAGTGAAGGGGGCGTTGATCTCCTAGGCTAGGGGATTTCCAATGGTCCCTTATCGTTGTTTCCCTATGAATTCCTAGGTAAATCATGATTCCAAGACATACATAGGCTGTTGCAGTAGAGAGGCCTTCCCACTTGAGGATACGCGAATGTTCGGTCAGGGGGGTGTTCCAGTTATCAATAACGGCATTTTCGATCAAGTAAGCGACCCAGCTGTTGGTGTATTTAATCCATGACTGTATAAGGGAAATAGGTAGGAAAAGCTGGAATAATTCAAGTGGTTCTTGGGGCAGGGCTTCGATCTTGAAATCACGATACTGCAGGTGGAAAGGTTGAAAATCACGGCCGCAGCTCTCTTCGGGCGGAAAATTAGGCACGCCGGTGGGGTCATTAGCCGCTCTTAAAGGCAGGGGGTTAAAGCTGCTATCGTCTATGAAATCTTGTATCTTTTGAGAGCTCATTGTTTCCTTGGAGACACTGTAGGAGTAATTTGTATAAGGATTTTGATGAATTTGGTGGTGTTTTTTGAAGCAGTTGTCTGACAGGGAACCTTTCGTACCCCGCAGGTACTAGCCTAGTAAGCGGAAAAAGTGGGACGGGTGACCCCGTGGTAGACTTGTGACCGTAGAAGAGATACATGCATAATGGGCTCCGCAAGAAGCACAGAGCACTGCTCTTAAAGCCTAACTTTATATTAATATTAAACTTTATATTTTATATTATCTCTTTGACTGGCACAAGACTGCAACGGGGTCACGACAGGGGTCTAGAGCCAATCAAAATTAGCACAACTCAAGGTACATCCCCACGCACCTAATTTTGCGTGTAATAGAAGTACCAGCAGCTCGCTGTGTTACAAATAGCTACCTTACATACTTTGCAGCCGTATCGGGTCTGTGACCGCTGCTGATTTCCTGATATTGGCTGTAGATAACCTCCTTGTTTGCTTCTTTTTTTGAAGGGTCGAGGCTGCCCTTGCCGGAAGCCTTTGCAAGCTAGGCAGTCGGAAAATCACGATATTCTAGGCTGAAAGGTTGAAAATCATCACCGCAGCCCTCTTCGGGCGGAATATCAGGTGCGCCGGTGGGATCATTAGCAGCTGCTATAAAAGGCAGGCTATCAAAGCTATGATCATCTAGTATATGTATCTCTTGGGAGCTCATCGTTTCAATTGAGACTTGTTAGGGTCAATTTATATGAGGATTTTGATGATTTTGGTGGTGTTGAAAGAAGCAGCTGTCTGACGGGGAACTTTACGTACCCTGCAGGTACCTGAAAAAAAGCGGGGTAAGTTACATTTTGCAGTCTTGTGCCGGTCAAAGAGATAACTTTATTATAGGCTGCTGATAATATTTTATATCTTATTAGGCTTCTTACCTGTTAATGTATATAAATCCCATTACTACAGACAGGATAAGTGCTAAACAAATACCCATATTTCGAAGCGCGTTCATCACGATATCCTTTGTGGCCTCTTCCATGTTTTCTTGGAACTGCCCACTTCCTTTATTTCCATCGGGAAACGCAACATCAGGAATAGCCGTTCCCAGAAATTTGCAAAGTGGCTCCCTACAAGAATGTGAGACGGGTTTTTTTCTAGTAGCTCAATCGAATGGGTGGACTTACCATTTGTCTTCCACGCTCCACTCCAGGAAGGGTCGCTGGTCGTCTGCCAATCTTCTCTTGAGCCGCTTATAATGTTCTTCAAAAACTTGCTTGCCATACTGCTCGAAGTCTCCTCTGTAGGAGTCCTTCATAACAAGTTCAAAATTCCACTAAAGCCATCAAATACTCGTGTCGAACCAATTTAGCACCCGCATAAGCCAGCTGAAGACTTCGAGGCATGTCTTCTTCAAGCTTTCATACCAAGCATCCACATTTCGGCGTCAATTAAGAATGACTTTTGAGTTGGGGTAGTTGGACAAGAGCTCCTCGCCAAAAACATTCGCTGGTCTATCTGTAGCCACCCCGCAATTGGCAAGGACAGAGTAAAATCAATGGACTCTTGGAAATTTGAATCATGAAGTTTCCGGCTCATCAACGGCATCCAAAATGCGCTGTCCTCTCTTTGGATTGCTGGGACTTATTGTTGTGCGTAGCTCATGGTTACCGGAAACCTTATTCTTTCGCTTGTATGCTCGGCTATACAAAAGACCCAGCGTCTTCGACTAAATTTGAGTCTCTAACTATCTGCAACCTCTTCCATGAATAAATCATAAACTCCATCGCCTATGTACCTATTTCTATATATCCATAAAAGCCTAGCGGATTCATTTTGAAAATTAACTGCACTGTTGAAGTAGAAGAAAATGCAAAGCCTCATTCATAATTTACTATACAATAGAGCTCTCAACTTCTCCAACCTCCAGCTCAGACCTGTCAAACTCTATTGGAACCTGCAGATCATCGATTCCAAAGTCATAGGTGACAAACTCATTTATATCCTCTAGCATTTGAGTTGTCAGTGAAAACTGATCCTGGCTGGCCTCCTCGGACGCTTTATCCCCATCTGCACAAGCCTTATCATGCTCGTAAGTGCTAGCATCGACGTTTTGATCCGGGGAACCCATGTCCATGAAAAATAGTCTAGGAGATGGCAAACGCGCTGAACGAGTTGCAGCGAGGCCAAGCGTTGAGTCCTCTGAGTATCGCCCGAGAGCTAACGAGTGGTCAATAGTTCGAGAAAGCCGGAAGTATAGAACGGGTTCTTTTACAAGGACGTTACCCCAGTCATTGGCATACTCGCTATCGTTGATAAGTTGCGACTTTAATCCGAGATACTGAACGGCATTTCTGCTATGACCGTTCTGGGAGACGGTCTCATGTTCGGCATCCTGTACAGTTGCATAATCGATAGCCGTTCTGATAAAGGTCCATACATCATCAACTCCATCGTAGAGCTTCTGCATAGCCTTCATTGTTTCAACATATACATTAAGCTTTCCTTGCTTCTGGGCTATCTGTAGTGGCCTTTTTGCAAGTCTAACATCAAGGATATGTAGCACCAGTGGAACAGCGATATATGCAGCACTAGCGATAGAATATCAGCAATAGTAAATTACAAATCAGGTATCGACTCACATGCTAATTGGCAAGAACCTTTCCAACCTCAGTTGGATAAGTTCTTTGAGATTTTCTGTAATTCCGAGGGCAGCATCCTCAATTCTGCTTTTTGTTTGTTGCAGTTCTGAAGTTGCTTCTGCCAGCCCCTGACTGATAATGAAGGCCTTGTGTTGATACAGTGCAAAGCAAGCAGCGCTTTGTGATTGTTAGAGATGAGTGACTACATAAATATACCTTGATGAGGTTACTTACTAATAGTATATATATAGTAAGTTTGTGTACAAAACAAGAGATTCTTCGCGAGTTATGATACCAGCAGGGGTTGGAAACTGAATAGTTGCTCTTTCAAACCAAGCCTCCAAGCCAGCTTCACAAGACTGCAGGGATTTGCTTGCTTGTTGAGAGTCACAGACCACTGGGGACTCGACACCAGTTAAGCGGCCTGTAGGATAGACGATCTTAATGACATCAGTGAGCGGAACAGCCAGCTCACATAGCGTGATAAATAACCGGACTAGGGTTCGTTTTGTCTGTGATCCATAGACCCGAGACCCGTCAATCTCTCGTGCGAAGTCTTTCTCGGTAGGCAAATAGCTCCCTTGAGCTAGATCGAGCGACGTAATATGTAATTGTCTTCGCATACCAAGAGGCAAAATTCGATCCCGTAATATACAGCACCACCACAGGCGTTTTAACTCAGTTACCGGAGTCAAACTCTGGTTCAAGCTCGTATGAAATTGATCTGCACCTGCGGCCTGCGCTAGGTGGATGGCAGTCGAGAGCCAAATAGAATTGGTGCGTTTTCGGTCCTTCATTGTTCCATTATAAGAGAGTAGAAGTGCTCCCTGCGCGCTAGACACAAGGTTCCTCTCACTACAAAGATCGAACAAGAGCTGCAGCTGTAGGTCAGTCGGGATGCGCTTGCCAGGTCAAGGGAACAGTTAGGATGAACCTACCTTACTGCGACGGTAGTACGTGTCTCTTGCATTGTGTACTGAGGCAAATCCAAGACTTCGGAGAGTTGAAAAAGGAAGGAACTATAAAATTAGCAAATCCAGTATTAAGAAACATAGAGCTCGTGACATACACTACATGCAGTGAATAGCATGGCTTGAAAAACAAAGAGAGATAAATTTGATCTGGAGCGTATAGGTCGTCCATAAATGTCCCAGAACCAGGCTTCATCCAAGAGCGGAAGCGCTGGGTGAACATGTAAGAAGTACTCTTTAACGAACTCATCTAAAGCCTCTGGAGTTGGGACTCGAAAGCAGCCCTGGGCCTCAAGATAGTTTATATCATCGGGTAATAATCCGGAGAGATCAAGATCGAGAAAAGAATAATAGGAGTATATGATGTGGGATTGACTGCATAGCTTCGCATCTGAGGTTGAGGTTGGCTTGGGCTCGGTTTGATGGAACCTTGGACTTTCTGAGATAATTGTGAGATCAGAATTTTTGCGATGGTTTATAGTCATTTCAAACTTGCCAGGTCCTTTATCGGTTTCTTCTGCTGGACCCTGAATGAGTCTTTCAACAGGGTAATCTATCTCAGCTTGATCCCAGATTGCCTCAAAGCACATAGATGGGCTTTCGGGACCACATTCTACTGAGAGCCCCGGCTCTAGACATGAATCCTTCGGCGAATCTGCATCATCTGATGCAGGAAGGCTTGGGTCTTTTGGTAGAAGGACCTGCAAGCTGTTTCTGAACTGTGTCCGCTGCTGTTTTTCAACAACGACTGGAGGCCGTTTGCGACTTGGCTAGGTTAGCTTATGTTGGTGCTGTTTATCCAGGAAACCTACTACTTGGTGCGTCTGTCTTTGACAACACACTGAATGTTATCAAGGGCACAATTGGTGCACTGATGTGGTCTATGGGTGACATCGCACCGGACCTTGCGAGAGCGACAGGCTACACAAGCTTTGCTGGCTCGCTTCCGCCGGGGATTTATGCTGGGGGATATCACTTCCTGCATTGTGGGTTCTGAGTAATGTTTCGGTAGCGATGATGATGGATTTTGGATCAAGTAAGTTAGGTGAAAGTTCTGAACTCCCCCTTCCTAAACTATTTCGCGGCAACAAGGAGACCACTTCTGAACGCGGGGTAAAGCGCGGGGAAACGTAAACTCTATCCATACTTAGTCTAGCTACAAAGTAATGTTCTCTATTAAATTCAGTAATTTGCTCTGTTGACTCGACTGTATTGAGTCAGCATGCGTGAGTTCTAACTCCGCTCTGTTTTGCCAATCCACGCTATTTCCTAAAGTAGTAAGTCAGGGTGCAAAACAAGATTTACATCAGCCACAAGACTTGACACCTGAGCACTCATTTTCTGCCGAGGTTGAATTCCTGCCAATCAATTCATGTTTTCAGAGTCAGTAATGCAAACCCTCAGCCAGGACTATCTCAAGCTCTGAGGCAACGTCAGTGAATGTAACCATATCTGGGATCTGGGTTTTATGGCTTTCACTTTTAGAAGGTTATAATAACTACAAGTTTATAATGAAATGGCGGTAAGATAACAACTACCAAGTAATAACTGGTTTAACTGTTTTTCCAGTTTTCATGTCTTTTAAAGCAGTCTCAAAATCTTCTGGCTTTACAGGATTGTTAGTTCACCTTACTTACTATAAGAATAAATAGACACACCTTATAGAAGCTAATCAGCTTATCGATTGGGAGCTTTCCTTCTCGATACCATTGGATCATTAATGGTAGATACTATAATTATATTAGAGCCCGGACTGTTGCCTGTAATGTTTGAGTTCGTACCTCGGAAGGGATAGCATCGCCTTCAATAGTTCCTCGAATGATTTTCCCAGTCTGTCTTCTATTAGCATCTCAAAGATAAATAATATCGAGTACATACCTGCATAAATGTAACAAGATGAAGATCCATCATGGCATCGAGTGGTGGTACTCCAACAAAGATTAGTTGGCCTCTGTTGGCAGTAAAATCTAGACCTGCTCTGATGAGGCCCATATTCCCTGTCGTGTCAATCGTTATGGAAGATCCTCTTCCACCAGTGACTCTTTGGATCTCCTCTTTTATGTCAATGTTCTCATCAGCTGTGTTGATCACATGAGTTGCTCCAAGGGCTGACGCTAATTTCAGTCTCTCCGGTACGCGATCAATACCGATGATAGTCTGGCAAGCCTGCATCTTTGCTGCCTGGAAGACCCATTAGCTTGTCCTTCGCGTTCTTGAGCGTCATCTCTCACCATTATCGAAACCAATCCGACGCCCCCAAGACCTATAACTGCGATTCTGTCTTTCTCGTTTGCTTTGGCAACATTTTCAACTGTCGCCGCACCAGTCTGAAATCCGCAACCAAGCGGCGCGAATAACTTCAATTCCTCTTCAGTTTCAATGATATTGGTCACATTTACAACAGACGTTTCCTTGACAACTGCCAGTTCAGCAAAGGACGACTGACCGAAGAAGTTGCCACGCAAATCGGACCCCTCTGCGGTATAAGTTGCATCCTCGCCGCCATAATTGACTTCGGTAAACTTGCTGCAAAAAGACGGATGATCTTCTTTGCAGTCATGGCAGTCTTTGCAATTGTGAAAAGAGAGAAGCACAAAGTCACCAGCGCGAGCTTTCGTTACCCCCGGCCCTACTTCCACTACAACACCTGCACCTAAACACGAATATCAGTTATCATGGCGCTAAGAACAGGGTTATATTTTGACCTCACCTTCGTGCCCTAAGACTTTGGGGTATGGGATCTGATCGGCAGGCCAGGTGGCAAAGATGAGGTCTGTGTGACAAATGCCAGTAGCAACGACTCGAACAAGGAGTTCACTGCGACGAATTGCCCGCAGAGACCCGTGTACGAGTTTCAAGTCAGGCGTAGTGCCTTGAGGCTCGTATGCTGCGATGATTTTGGTGTTCATAATTGCGAATGACAAAGCTGTTTGGACACGAAATTTAAGTTGATGTCTCTAAACAAGTAAGGATCACGATTTATTGAAGAAACCATGTGCAACATGACTAGCCTAAATCAAGCTAGTGAGAATCTTATCCCCACGGTTCAGTTCAACCGACGCGAAAAGCCCTCGGCAGAAATACCAAGCCAACCGGGGCGAATAACTTAGTCTCGTGATGGCATGTAACTAGCTCATTATGGATATGGCTGTCGGCTGAGGCACCCTGGGGTTGCGGGGTAAAGCCTTGGCTAAACTTCGCACGAGTAAAGAAGACTTATATCAAGCCTCGAGGCAGAAGTGATATACATAAACTACCTATTACCAATCTTTCAAAGGCATTTCTTTGAGCAGAAGACACGTCCCGAACTATTAACCCTACAAATTATAGGAACCACAATGACTGCCGCTACTTATCCAGAGAAGCTGGATTTCTCAACCTTTTCCAACATTATCAATGGCCAAGTCAGAGGTACCGCGGTAACACGACATGGTGTCAACCCTTCAACATTCGAGACGTTGCCACCATGTCCCGTGTCAACCCAAGCAGACGTTGAAGAAGCTGTACAAGCAGCCCGCTCTGCATTCAAACTTTGGAAAACGACGCCTATTGAGGTTCGAAAAGAGAACATCAAGGGTTTGGCAGCTGCACTCTTGGCACAGAAGGAAGATTTCTCACGTCTGCTTATAAAGGAGCAGGGAAAGCCTGTAAGTCTAGAATCTTGGTTTAAATGATAGGTCGAAGAAGCTCACAGATTCACTCTAGACTATGTTTGCCGACCATGAGATCGTCCGGGGAGCTCACTGGCTTACTGGGACCTGCGAGCTTGAGATGCCTGTGGACGAGGTAGATAACGACCCAGAGAGACGCATCTTCACTCGTTATGTACCTCTGGGAGTGGTTGTCGGAATCGTTCCATGGAATTGTACGTCTCGAGAGCCCTGTCTCGTCTTCAAGTCTCAAGTTAACTTGGCGTTGTAGATCCCATTATGCTTCTGTGCGGAAAGCTTGGCCCGGCACTGATGGCAGGCAACTGTATCATCGTTAAGCCTTCTCCCTTTACACCCTATTGCGGCATCAAAATCGTCGAGCTTGCACAGCATTTCTTCCCACCTGGCGTAGTACAGGTCCTCAGTGGAGGCGATGATCTAGGTCCAATGTTAACAGCTCATCCAGGCATTGACAAGATCAGCTTCACAGGCTCGACGGCAACAGGTAAAAAGGTCATGGAGAGTGCCAGCAAGAATCTGACTAGAGTTACTCTGGAACTGTAAGTACATCTAAGTCCAGTTGAGCCTATCACGGCAGAACACAACAGCTGACATGAGATAGGGGAGGAAATGATGCTGCGATTGTATGCCCAGATGCAGACGTAGAGAATTCAGCTTCTCAGATTGCAGTAGCTGCATTTATGAATGCAGGCCAGATCTGTATTGCTGTCAAACGCATTTACGTGCATCAAGATATATATGACACTTTCAAGGCCTGCCTCATCAGGCACTTATCGCAGCTCAAAGTCGGCGATGGATTCGCAGATGGCACCTTTATGGGGCCAGTTCAGAACGAACTCCAATTTGAGCGTGTGAAGGTACACCTGGATGAGATAGCAAAAAACAATTATGCTGTCTTGCAGGGTGGAGATATGCCAGAGGGTCAGCAGAAAGGGTTCTTTATCCAACCCACCCTTGTGGATAACCCGCCGGATGATAGCAAAATCGTCACCGAGGAACCATTCGGGCCAGTAGTGCCTTTGCTAAAGTGGTCTGGTGTAAACGAGGTCTTATCCCGTGTCAACGCAAGTGACATGGGCTTGGGAGCTTCAATTTGGACGGCTGATGAGGAGCTTGGCATGCGCATCGCTGAGGGTCTTGATGTTGGTAGTGTTTGGTTCAATGAGCATCTAGCCATTGAACCTACAGCTACGTTCGGAGGTCACAAAAAGAGCGGTTTAGGGCGCGAATGGGGGGTTGATGGACTGCGAGGTTATTGCAACTCCAAGACATTTTTTATTAAAAGAACCAAGTAGAATCACTATGTAGACAGTCACGGATTATTATGGCGTGAAAACAGATTTAATCACTTATTTTAAAACACTTGGGGTGATGTTTTAACGCCTAAACCACTGTATATACTTAACAACTTGTAATGCAACTGTGAAGTACTTTTTGCACCTTTCCTTACTCAGAGAGCTGGGAATATTTAAGCCAAGCATCTTAAGAAGAACAAGCAAACTATTCATGCCCACTGCTCCGTTGCAAGTCGTTGAGTGCATACGGCAATTCCGTTTTTTAGCCAAGTTAGTGAGTCACTATTCACGGCTCACGGTTACCGGCACAAAACAAGCCACTCATGAATCGCCTTTACGAATCAAAGCACCTTTGCTCAGTCCACTCTTCCCCAGATTCCCCGCAATTCCCCAGTATACGCTAATCTTTGTGCTATGCCTATTGAGATGACCCCGCGTGACGATCCTCAGTTTCTCCCCTTATCAAGTTGAGTTTAACTAATGAAAGTTGCCGAGGCCAAATTTCATGCCACAAAGCCAACGTTTGGCTTGGTTCACCTGATCTAGCGTTTGTATCACCACCATGGATGAGATCGCTGTTTTAAACCGCCCTTCAACAGCCCTTTTGTCCGATTAATTGAATCAACCTTCTTTTATATTTCCTTTCAAAAGCTATTCTCACTAAACTACCTTCTCGACATGGACCAGACCATGATGGTCGAACCCAAAAGCCCCGAGGCCATTGCGGTCGCTTTCGCAAGTGGCTGCATCCTACACATTCTCTGCTACCGTAGGGGAGAATGGGACTTGCTTGCCCTTCGTATCCTTCAGGCCTATGCTGCATTGCCGATTATTGTGAGCGGGTTGTTGCACTTGGCTGAAATCAAGGGATGGCAGAATAACATCAGATTTTCAGCTGCATCTGTTCTAGTGCTCGAAGGTGCCCATATTGCGGGGCTTTTGAGCAGTATCCTCTGTTATCGCATGATATTTCACCCCTTGAACCGATTCCCTGGACCCCTCCGTGCTCGAGTATCAAACTTGTATCCGACCTATCTCACTACCAAGAACGCGCACCTCTATGAAGAGGTAGAGCAGCTCCATCATAAATACGGTGATTTTGTTAGACTAGGTCAGTATCTTCTATTTAGTTTCTGACGTTGAACTAAGAATTAGGCACTAGGACCATCACAGCTTTCTATTATTCATCCCAAGGCGATTGAAGCGATCTACTCTGCCAAATCACCATGCACCAAAGGCCCATTCTACAATATTCTCCATCCTCGCGTCTCGTTGCATATGATTCGCGATCACAAAGAGCACAGCCACAGGCGGAAGATTTGGGACAGAGCGCTGAGCTCCAAATGTGAGAGCAATCCTCGTTGTCTGTTTACTTATTGATCAGCTAACAAGTAGAAAGCTTTACGGGACTACGAACCTCGCGTCACGAAGTACACTACACAGTTACTCGATCGCCTTTATGAGATGCAAGGTACGACGATTAACGCCTCGAACTGGTTGAACTTTTACAGCTTCGACGTTATGGGCGATCTTGCATTTGGCAAGTCCTTTAATATGTTACGTGACGGTGTGAATCATTATTTCCTGACTTCACTGCACGACTCAATGAAGATGGTTGGGGCTCTCGCTCATATATCATGGATTATCCCCATCCTGAAGCTCATCCCTGCAGTCAGTGCTGAGGACCGAAAGTTCTGGGTTTGGATTGAGAGTCAAGTTGAGGAACGATCAAAGGTACACTTCTCTCTCTTGGCAAACTTGTGACAGAACTAATACAGATGACGAGTAGATGAAGCCTGATAACCCCGATGTCTTCGCTTGGATCCTCGAAGAGTACGAGCGCAATCCAAAAACACACCAAGCAAAGCTTAATGTTGAGGCCGAGGCTTATTTAATCGCAGTTGCTGGAAGGTATGTACTTTATGTCAATGTTAGCACTTAGGCTTGCCTCAAGACTTATTGAATTACAGCGACACAACCTCTGCGACTTTGACTGGTCTTCTCTTCGAGCTGGCAATGAATCCCTCTCAGATTACTAAGCTGAGAGAAGAGATTGACAGGTACTTCAGTCAGAGAGAACACGTAGATCATACATCACTCTCCAACCTCACTCACTTAAATGCTGTCATCGATGAGTCCCTTCGTTTGCATCCACCTGTCCCTTCAGGTTTGCAGAGAGTTACTCCTCCCCAAGGACTGATGGTAGGCGACACTATGATACCAGGTAATACAATTGTTCAGGTTCCCATGCATACAATTCAACGAGGTAGGTTGTATCCCACATGTCTATCTACAGAGAAACAACTAATCAGGTTGAATAAGATGAACGCTATTTTGTGAGACCACTGGAGTACATCCCAGAGCGTTGGACGACATCTCCTGAGTTAGTCAAAGATAAGACGGTCTATGCACCTTTCTCAATTGGTAAAGTTGGATATGTCTACCTTTAAAATCCATGCTGACTCTAGTCAGGGCGATATTCTTGTGTTGGGAAGCAGCTTGGTTTGATGGAGGTAAGATATGTTATAGCACATATTATACGGGCATTCGATGTGAGTCTCGGTGATGGACAGACTCAAGAGGGTTTCCTAAAGTCCAAGATGGATACATTTACATTGGCTACCCCAAACCTTCACCTTGTCTTTACCTCTCGTCCCACCAAGTAGTAGTACTTACAAGCTCTATTTATTATACTTATTAAATACACCATATTGCTCACACGCCTGGACGAGGTTGCTATTATACACAGAGCGTCGCGCAATACACAGTCTGTTGGGCATATAGTTGGCGCATCTTGTCTGCCTAGGCATTGCCATTGAACGCGAAACAGCAGCAGTGTTAATGGTACTTCTAATAAGAATAACTAAATTTCCTCCTCCTTATTCACAATAGTCGCGGCACCTCCACCCTCCGCCTCAGCAACAATCTTTGTCCTCAACACCTTCCCACTCTGATCGGTGTAGATGTTACAATAAGCACTGAGACCATGATACGGTGCATATGTGTACTGCAGCTCATACTCCACCCCTTCATCTCCAGTGATTGTCTTGTTGTGGCCTGTAAACTTCATGTCTTTACTGTAAAACCCAACTTCCTTTCGACGCTTCTCGAGTCCATTATTGTTTAGGTAGATATCATATAGGAATCCGTCTTGTGTCAAGACACGGTTCCTGTTTGTCGAGCCTGAAAAATCGTTGACGGAGTAGAGAATGTTCTTCTCGAGGCGGACAGTAAGATCTCTCTTCTCTAAAGCCTCAGCATCTTCGCCAGATCCATTGCCTCCACTGCCTCCGCCGACGACATCGCCTACATCATCTACGACGTCCTTGACAGTATCACCCAGAGTGGCAATAATCGGGTTCAGGTCGATGCTTTCCATGACATCATCGACCATGCGCAGGATATTTCCAAGACGCGCCTCGAGCTCGACCTTGGCTGTGACGTTATAAATGCCGAGCTTTACGCGATCAATACCGAGATCGACACCAGCGTTGAAATTAAGCAGATTGAGGACCTTTGCGTCTAGGTTGATTTTGGCAGTAATGTTCTGTACCTCGATAGAGATCTCGCCTACTGAGACATTGGCGTTGAGGTAGACGTCGGGTTCCTCGTTGAGAGGCGCAACACCGCTGTTGGTGTTTTCGGTCTCGTAAATGGCGGACTCATCATCGCCTCGTCGGTTCAGACGATAGCCATAGTAGCCGTCGCCTTTCGCTTTTGCAGTAGCAAAGCTTGCGAACGAGGCTAAAGCTAAAGCGCCGAATACTGAATAATGCTTCATTGTGAATTTGAGTTTGCTGCTGGTGAAAAAAAGAGTGAGAATGAATGAAACAGCTGTGCAGGCTTGAATGAGATACCCTTCAGACGGGCATAAGGCGTAGAATAGAAAGAAACGCAAGCGACCCTCCTTCACAGAGCATCCCAACCAAGCTTGTAGTACCCAAAGATCCCTGCCAAATAATGGTAATATATCACCCAATCCAGCTTGGATGGAGGGCACAGATTAGACGGCAAGCGAACTTGAAACAGATGTAACCCCGGTAGGATAGTTCCGGCCCTGATCTCCAGCCTCCAAGGTTTCATTGATGCAGGGGCAATCACAACGAGTGGAGCATATTCGGTGTAGTTGAAGCCTGAGAGGGCTGTATTTCCGACAGACCCCTGTCACAACGTCAATGCATGAACTCAATCTCGATCGATTACCCCGTAAAACATATCAGTAATTTCTTTCCAATTACCAAAATCCGGTTTTTTCCATCGCTTGCAGCTCAAAGGACGGATAACACCCGCGATATAACCATCCGAATAAGCTCATAAGGCCGAGCGCTAAGGATCCGACGGGAGATTGCGCTGGTTCCAAGGCCGTGTGACAAAGGTCCACTTTATGGCATGGGTGTAATCATCGAAGACCTAGGGAAGGACGATGAGCAAGAAATGTCTCGACATACCAACACTGTCTCGTCGTTATAGTATCAAACTTGACCATTATCTTCCAAAGCCATTTCTATCAAACGTCAACATGCGTCTCTCCATTTTTCAGCCTTTGGTCCTTGCTCACCTATTCAGTCTGGGCATTGCCCAAACACCTGATTCAACAGATCCAGCTACTACTGCAGAGAGCATCTCGATTCCCCCAACAGCCTCGCCGTCTGGGAGTGGTGATACCAACAGCGACAGCACAGCTCAACCAACAGCTGCGCCTGGAGGAGGAGGAGGCTCAAGCAACTCCTCACTTGGTCCTCCCGATGTTCATCTCAAAGTCCCAGAACTCTCTGTTGGCCGCATTGAGCTAGACGTCGACAATCTCCATGCAGATATCAACCTCAACGCTGATATCGCGAAGCTCGTTCAGATCAACGCAGGTATCCAAATCGGGATCGATAAAGTCAACATCACGATCGCGGATGTAGAGGCCGAACTTGAGCTTGTTGTCCGTTTGGGCCACTTGGTCGAGATTGTCAACCGCACTCTGGCTTCCCTCGATTTGAACCCTGCTCTAATCAACCTACTCGACTCGGTCGGCGACATAGTCGAGGGCGTTATCGGCGCTGTAGATGGTCTACTTGGCTCTATCACCCAAGGCGACACGAAGCTCAATTTTCTTATTGACAATCTTGGAAACATTGTGCAAGAAGTCACTAAAACGGGTAGCGATGTTGTTAGTTCGATTATCGGAAACTACAAGCAAAATATGACTTTCACTGGCGATGAGAAGACTCTGAATAATGGTCTTACGCAAAGGACATATGAGTATAAGGAGCTCAGTGCTCTTGTAAACATTGTCTTTAATAAAGCTGGTCAGATTGTTCAAGCCATGGTCGTAAAGGGTGGCGGTAGTGGTTCTGGAGACGATGACGATGAAGAGCCTAGTGGTAGTGCAACTGCGTCACAAACAGCAACAGCCACACCTGCTCTCAGTCAAGCTACAACGGCATCGGCTACTTAGAGAAGCACCACAGGAAATCATATTCACGCCTTACATCAATAAAAGTAATCCTCATCACTATCTCCTCAGAAAATGGATCAAACTGTAGCCCGCACTGGTGAATACGAAGTCAAGGTGACTGATATACTGTAACTAAATTTAAGTACTAAAGCTATCCTTAATTCTTGGGAGGAAAGCAATTGACCTTGGAAGGCTTCTCCTGATACCTCTTGAAAGTCATGCACATGACTTAAAGCGGTGCTCTGTATAGCCAGCTCAAGCCGGGCTAGGCGCGATTGCATGTACCAAGTAAACATAGCTCTCAGATCATTCATACATCCTCACATAAGGAACATGAGCGGCAGGATACTGAGACGTGTGAGGACCAAAATGACACTTCCAGTAGGTCCGATACTGGTTAGATGTCTTCGTCAGACCATCCTTCCTTTCCGTCTTGGTGGTCATCTTGGTGCAAGGCATGTCAATATCAATGGTGCTCCATCGCTGGAAAGCCACGGTACCGTACTCCATCTTCCAGCGACCATTGGTCAGGGTGAATTCCTTCAACTGAGCGTCTGTTGCCCGAATAAGCCAGAAGTAGAGCTTGACTGCCTCAGCGAGCTCTTTCTTGATGTTAACCTGGATTGAGATGAGACCATTGCGCACGTAATAGCCATTTTGGTCGCTATTATCAAATTCCGCCTGATTGACCTTTTCCCAGTCAATGGCCAACATACTAGTGATCAGTTCATGAAGAGCTTTGGAATCCGCCAGATATTCGGTGACAAATGACTTCAGGGGGGCAAGCTCAGTGGCGACCTTCTTAGAGGTAACTGACATTCCGTCAACGACGGGCATGAACTTGAAGACATCCTTGGCGACTTTGATCTCGTTGTTCTGAATTCTGCTGATCATTTCATTGACTGGTGGGATATAAGCCCAATTTGACCTGAGCTTGTTGACATCGTCTAACAAATTGCTGGCTTTGGAGTTGAAACTGAATATCTGCCTAGCTGTACTGAGCTTTTCGGACAAATTGATAACGGTTTGAACATTTGTCATGAATCTTTTGACATTGGGGCGATCATTCCCGCAATAGTCCAGGCCGTTGCAAATTGAGTCATAATAGCCGCTAAGGGTCGACTCAACGCCATTAAAGGCTTCTTTGACCTCGTCTGTAGCAGTCATAACGTAACCAGTAGACTTTGTGATGAGGTCGAGGTTGTCTCTCCAGCGGTTGAGTATGGGGATGATAGGGACAAGAAGAATTCTGTACGAGGCGATGAGGTAATTACTAAAGACAGCATAAATTTGTTCGGAGTTGCAGACACCTGTGACTCGGCAGGGATGAATCACGGTGATCATGGCACGGAAGGTTCCGCGGGCCATCTGAAGAAAGTCAGTCAAGCTATGTGAGGTATAGACAGAATGCGTACATCAGCCCCTAGGGCAACTGCCCAGCCGGTCGCCTTGAGTTTGTTCAAGGTAGCATCACGAGTTTGAGAATATTTAAGACCGCCATCCGTCAAACACTAGACTCAGTTAGCTGGAAACAACTTGAAAGAAACGTGCTGCAGCGATACCTTTTCCAGGGTCCCGGCCTGATCAAGATAGTAGTTATTCGCCAAGTCAAAGTTACCAGCCGAGGAAGACGCAAACTTGCCCTCGGAGTTAAGAGTGCGCAACTTGGTGAAGCAATTGCAGATAGGGTCCCTGGCCTTGAGGAATTTGTTGCCGAGCGTTGTGCCGAGGGCTTTACGGATTTGATCGCAGACGTTGACCTTGATGTAGTTGAATTGGATGGAACGAACATTCTTGTTCGTGACGTCGACGCCTAGACTGTGAGTATAATGTATCTATTGTACAATTCGTTCTTACCTGCTACACAAACACTCTTTTTGCATGTCTTGGGCTTTGTCTGTGTGCCGCAGTTGTAATTGACCTGCTTTTTGGTCTTACACTTGTTTGGCTGTTGGTAACTTGTTAGTATTCACTTCTTGCTTTCCCTCCATATGAAACATACTGTCTCGACTTTCTTCTTTGTTGTGACGATCTTGAAGCCGTTTGGTACAGTGATAGTTGTTTTACAGCCATTGTTGGCGCTGCCAGTACAGATATCAGTTAAACTGGTTTGTGCTGAAACAACATCACCCAGCAGCACCAGCGGAGCCAAAATAAGGCAGACTTTCATCGTTGAGGGGACTTTGGATGAATGCAGGACTGTATCAATCTCACTGCCTGCTGTGAACACCCCGTAAATAAGTGAAAGTGCCTCGTTGGCAATTTGAGACTTTTCCCAGGTCTGGTCACCGCCAGCCCATCAAGCTGAACTCGGTGGCGCATGTAGCTCCTCCACCATAATCGATAGTTTCGAAATGGTATTCAGCCCTTGGAAGCGGAAGTCGCTCAAAAGAGTGTTCATTAAGCGAGGTAAGCTGTCAGAGATTGGGTGGCGTTAAACTTAAAAGTCTAGCTAGGCCCCTTGAGACAGCCTCTTATCCTTTTGCATGACTTTCTCGGGCTCATGACCTTGTGCGATAAATGTGGCATAAGCTTTGGTAGTGAATAAAATCTTGGCAGGGTAAACTGCCAAGGCGGCTGGCGGTCTATACGGGGGTCTAGACCGTAACTACCATGGCAGACTGACTTCTTTTCAGCTGGCTCTCCTCTTAATCCATACCAAAGTTCCAAACCCGCAGATTTCAGCGCGTGATGTGAGTAAAGCTCAAAGTGGAAACAAGCAATAAGCTTAAAAATAAACTTAGGGGAGTTGGCGGAATTGGCACGCCTCCATCTCATGGTCCCCTGAATTAGGGTAAGCCTTGGGCTTTGTGGCTGAACCCTGCTTGTTGAACGTCTTAGCAAGTATAACGCAATTCCCAGACTGTGGTCCCACGATTTTATTTATCCATCTAAACTAATCAATAAAATAACTAGATAAGCACAAATAGTATTATCCTCGTTCAATCACTGAGTTGGGATTGTTTCTGCATCTATGATAAAAGAATGATTGAAGGATCTCCACGACATCCCTTGCATAACAGCTAACCGAATAGCGGAGGCCCGTTCTTAATCCCACGAGCCCCATAGAGATATTCAGCAACCGGGCTCTCTTAAACTTAGACTCATCTCCGTTATTTTACGGAGGTTAAGCATAACTGTCGCAGGGTCTAAAGTTATTCCGACTACGAGATCATGCTTTCATAACGACAATATTTAACTCTATATATACATATACTCTCATAGACAATGTTTATCTAAATAAGATGATACTCATGCATCAACTGGCCAATCTGTGATCCTTCCAACTTGTTGACAAGAAACCTTCGGATACGCTCTGGCAGCCACGTAACCAACTCCTTGCCATCTCGTAACTGACACATCGCATCAAGCAAAACTCTCACATCGTAGGTCGAACCAAACACTTCCGGAACACCACGATCCACTCCAGTAAGTTGATATACTGACTCCATACCCGTACGAACAGAATATTCTGTAGTGAAAATGGTATCGCGTGTAGTCTCTGAAAATTGCCCGAGGAAGGCAAAGTTCTCTGCTCCGGCTGGAACAATATCGGGACGATCACCTGTTTTTCGTGGCATGAAGAAGGATGTGACGTACGGCATCATTACTGGAACACATTTAGCGCCTTCAGCCGCAAGAACAGGGATATCGCTCTCTGGGACTCCCATGTGATATAGCCACTCCTGGGTGATCTCCTCGCCAGTGCAGTCTTGCATAGGCTTTTTGACGTAGTCACCCTTCTTCTCGACAAGAAGGCCGTAGACCCAGACAACAATCTGATCCTTGGGCTGGTTCTTGAAGTGAGGCTGACGATTGACCGTCCAGCTCATGAGCCAGCTAGAATCCCGAACTGTGACAATACCTCCAGTTACAACTTTTCCACTGAATGGGTCTCGTTTACAGATCTTCTGGATATACTCGGGAACACGTTTGTCTAAAGTCGTGACTGTTGCTGACATCCACTTTGTCGCAGGGATGTTGTCGCAGAAAACCTCTGGGCGGCCGAAGGAAGGGTCTTTAGCTGCGATGCGACGCCACAAGTCCCAGGCGGGAGCTGGGCCGTCATGTAGTATAGCTGGGGTATGTTGATCGCCCAAGCCAGAGTTCTCCGTCAAAGAACCAATGGTCATAAAGACGAGGTCGTTTACTCCGAGAGATTGGCCACCTTTCTGTCCGTCTCTGATCCAATGAATGAAAGTTGCAGTCTTCTTGTTCTCCTCGATATCGAAGTCAACGTCCTGTACCTCAGTGGCATACTGGAATACAACACCCTGATCCTCGAGCCACTTATGCAATGGCAGCACAAGAGACTCATACTGATTGTACTTGGTAAACTTCAGGGTCGAAAAGTCGGGCATGCCTTTGATGTGATTGACAAAGCGATGGAGGTACAGCTTCATCTCCAAAGCAGAGTGCCAGGTCTGAAAAGCAAACATAGTCTGCCAGTACAGCCAAAAGTTACTTTTGAAGAAGTCTTCGCTGAAGACTTGGTCGATGCGCTTGTTTTCAACTTCAGTTCTGGTAGCAAGGAAAAGTCTCGTCATCTCCGACTGGGCCTTTTCGGTCAGAGTAAACAGCTTTCCAGTCTCTGCATCTTGGCCTTGATTGATGGTAGCGCGCCGGAGCGAGAAGTTCGGATCTCGTTTGTTGAGCCAATAAAACTCATCGAGAACACTAACTCCATCCTGCTCGATCGAGGGAACAGAACGAAAGAGATCCCAAAGGCACTCGAAATGAGATTCCATCTCGCGGCCCCCCCGGATGACGAACCCTTTCTCGGGCTCTTTGATACCATCTAAGGCACCGCCTGGGATTTTGAGTTCTTCAAGAATGGTGATGTTCTTTCCTGGCATTTGGGCATCGCGCACAAGGAATGCAGCGGTTGAGAGACCAGCGATGCCAGAGCCAACAATCCATGCCGTCTTGGACTCAATGCCTTCAGGCTTGAGTGGCCGCGCAAAGGCTTCATAGTTGCCTTTGCTATAATACATGGTGAAGAGCGAAGTGGTATTTAAGTTATTGGAATATAGTGGGATTTATGTGTGATGATTATATTAAGAATAACTTCACCTACTGTGGCCAACTCCTTGAATTTATCCTCATTTCCAGTTTGCGGGACGGAAGCAAACTCCTTCTCACGATATGATCTGATTGTTGAGAAGTCCGTTGGTGATTTGCTAGTGCCCGAGGTTTTTGTAGTCTAGCCCGAACATCACATGTAATTAGCTTCTGACAGTGAGCCGACATGACGCTTTTCCGAAGATCGTGACTACGTCACAGTAGATGGTGCTGCAAGATAAGCTAAGCGAATTGTCATAATGGAGTTACCGACAGTAATTATCATCTCCCTTAAAGTTTGCATGCCATTTCCTAAATCACGAGGCTTGTTGAAAATTTCTGAGCTTGCGCTAGCTCTATAGTTGCGTGATTATGACAGCTGATGGATATGGGCGGGTTTTCAATTAGCTTCTATGATCGGCCACGGCACATTCCGTTCCTAGCTTAATAATCGGAACTGTTAAATCCCGTTCCCCGATGTCAATGTCTAAAGGGTTTTGGTACCAATAATTTCCTATTCACTCTTGTCACCAATGAGATACAAGAAATGGTCATTCTTGCACTGGAGACTAGGTGACACTGAAATCAAAGGGAACAAGTGATGCAGGGTAATTATCCTGCAGAAGATCGTTCCCATACATGAGACTGTCCTCCCAGTTGAAGTGACTCAATGTCTGTTCGTCTTCGTCATCCGCTAGAGGATGCAAAAAGTCTGTTGTAACATGTATGCTCACGTAAGGGAGACCGTCTGTGGGTAGGACTGACCTATCAGCGGGTAGTCTGGTATTATGAATGATTGGGTCGAGAAGTTCCCATATCATAGACGGTGGAAAGTTAATCGTGGTACCAGCAGCACCGGCTTCGGGCGACTTTCCAATGACAAGTGATTGCAGTCGATGGAGACTTTCGAGCTGGGTATTTTGATTAGTAGCCATCGTGGTCTCAGTGGAAGAACATACTTTATGTGACATGCATGGCCAAGTCTTCGATAGGCGTTGTAGGAATCTCTGTCCCTTGGCTAAATTCTGGCTGGCTTTGTAAGCAACCTTGGCATTTTTCACAAATTGGTAAAGCCATGGAATTGTCGATGTTGCTGCAACAGCTAACCCGATGAGGGGGTTGGCTATCTCGATGTTCAAATCTTCAAATATTCCAACAAGCCAGAACACCCATCCAGAGTGAAAGAGAGCCTGATCCACGACTTGTTGTAAAAACAGTCTGGACTGACTCATACCTCTGTTACGGCGCAAAGCTACCAGGTGAATGAAAGGATGGTTTAATAGGGCGAGGGATGCATGCAATATTAAATGCGTGGTCAACCAGGGATTCCAATACTGATGGTATGCCCGTATCTCATCTGAAGTTCTCTTAAAGGGAAAAAGGCTCCTCATCAGGTGTCTTTGGTTAAATTGAGCCTCGTACTCAAAAAGAGCAAGATTGAGCTTGGAGTACGTAGACTCTGGCAGCCAGGGTATCTGAACCTCTCCACTTCTGATTTCATGGAGATGGCAAGCAACTTGACTCCAGACTGAGATCATTCTTCCGGCGTGCGTATTGATTCCCAGGTCTTCAGATGAACCAACGGCATTATCGAAGTCAGGTGCATTGAAATCGTTTGCATCGAGGGGGATCGGTGGCGGAGGCTCAACGCTGGGAGGATGTTTCCGAACTTGGTCATGGGTTGTGGCCCGTGGCATGTGAGGAAAGAACACAGCCTCAATTATGTAAATGCTCCAGTAACATCTGTTGTCTTCTTCTGGTTCCTGATTTGGGGTTGGATTGTTTTTCCAGAGGTTACGGATACTCTCCAGCCGTGTCGCTGTGCCAATCGACATCCATGCCCGGGGCAAATCGCTCACTATAGATCCATTAGCAAAACACGCCAAAGGATTCCATATCGCGCTTCCCTGCAATTTCTCTAAGCGCCATCATACATAGAGCTTGAACAACTTCAACACAGTGCTTTCCTTCAGCAGCAAGTCGCTGTATGGTAGTAGCTGCCGAGCGGCTGTAGTAGCTGCATGCTTCTGAGTGTTTGTTCCGGTAGTATTCATGAGTTGTGAATTCGAGCATCAGTGCTAGGAAGCTATGCAGAAAGTACTGAGGGGCATTATCGAGTCTCCTTCCTAGGGTGGGGAGGTCAAACAATGGTAGAGGTTGAAGATGCACTGTCCTACTATAGCTCTGTACAAAGTGAGTCAGTACATCTTGTGGCGGGTCAGGTTTGAGATCAGAATTAGTCAAACTGATGGCAGATGAGTCATAATAAGAGTCGTACTGGGCTTCTGAGAAAGAGGCAGTTTGTCGCTCATTCGGAACAACCTGCCCACTTAAGAGGGCACTCCCATCCGGGCTTGTCGTTGAAGGAAGGGGCTGCGAAGTTACAGAAGTCTCAGCTTCGTTGTCTTTTCGCGAACTAACAAGTGGCTCATTATTATTTATAGATCCGTCACTACGTGGCTTCCTACTCACCTAAGTAACTCAGATAGAGATGACATTTGCGATTCAAGCATCTGGATCCTGTCTTTGGTAGATTTCCTGCGACTTCGGTCAGATTAATAATCTGAGGGTAAAATTTGGAAGCGTCTGACTTCTGAACTTTCTCGACTTTGGTAGTTCTAACCTGCGATGAGCTTCCCCTTGCTGCATACTTGCATGGAAGTTTAAGTCGTTCACAAAATGAGCAAATCGGTCGCTCTCCAGTGCACTTTGACTTCTTGCCACTGGATTTACAGGTTAGCTGGCCGATTTTTCCTCACAGTAGCTCTGTACTTACCGACATGGCTCACAAGCCCGACGGCTTCGGCGGGTCTGGGCTTCTGATGTCATTGAGTTGATTAGTTATTGAAGGGGTCAGCCATGGTGGAGGGCGGAGAAAGCAGGTTCCGCGGAGCTTTTCTGAGCAGACATGGCACGTGAATAATGGAGGCTTGCTGAACTTCCGCCAATCATACTTGTGGATTGTTCTGTCTCCATATCTAACCAGAAGGAGTTCCGCTCACATGATCATCAAAAAGCATTGCTGATTGGATAAATCTCAATGAAAATTGTTAAGGAACTTCCTAGGAGATCTGGAAGTTCCGGCCTTAGCAGAAATAATTGCGGCATAAGTAGAACAGTGAGTATACTTAGGTTGAGACCTAAAGCCTTTTATCACTTAAAGTCATTTATTACTGTCACTGTCATTATCGCGTGATAAATAACGTATGTTCTTTAAGTGCAAATCAACAATACGTTTAAGCCCTATCTGTTCTACCAAGATGGCAACCTCAGAAGTGATGAAGGCCGTCGTTTTTGATGGCCCATATAAGATTTCTGTACGGGACAGACCCGTTCCTCAGAGTATGGAATGCTGAAATGGGTTTCTATATCAAACTTAGCTAACTGCTACTAGTCCAGAGTTCTCAGGATATCATCGTGAAGGTCAACATGACTGCTTTGTGTGGATCGTGTGTAGTATCTGACAACAACTTCTCATTGATAGAGGGCTGACAAGATATCAGAGAGCTACACTTGTACCGAGGCGTTGAGCCAACAGAACCAGATTTTATCATGGGTCACGAATTCACGGGTACTGTTGTTGCTTTGGGCTCTGAAGTCAAGACCGTGAAGATTGGAGACAAAGTAGTCTCCCCCTTTACTGCTTCTTGGTGAGACTTCCTACAATTGCCTTTTGGTCATGAGAGCTTTTTCTATGCAAATATTGACATTACACAGTGGTGAATGCTACTACTGTCAGAACGGTGGCTCGGCACGATGCGTCAAGAGCCAGGCTCTTGATTCTCCCAATCTCGATGGAGCTCAAGCCGAATATGTCCGCGTACCGTTCGCAGACGGAACTGTTATCAAGGCACCTGAGGGAATCCACGACCAGGCCCTTATTCTGATGGCCGATATCTTCCCCACCGGTTATTTTGGTGTCAAGAGTGGAGTTGAGATGATGCCGAAGCTAGAGCTACGAGATTCTACTATCGTGGTAATTGGATGTGGCCCTGTTGGACTTTGCGCCATTGCTGCTGCTGCAGTACTCAAGCCAAAGCATCTGTTTGCTGTGGATAGCGTTCAGAGCAGACTTGAGCAGGCTGCGAAGCTTGGTGCTGAACCTCTCAACTTCATGGAGAGCAGGGGTGAAATGATTGAACGCGTAAAGTCAGTTACTGATGGCAGAGGCGCTGATATAGTGGTGGAAGTGGTCGGGCTCTCGCCAGCACTTCGAACAGCATTTGACTTGGTTCGCTCGTTCGGTGCTATCAGTAGCATTGGTGTTCACAACGCTGAGGTATGTGTCATGATGCTTTTATGGCTGATGGCTATACTAACATGCAACAGATCCCTTGGTCAGGCAGTGACGCTTACAAGTGAGTTTCAACTTGTTGTTCTGTTATATAAAGCTAATCAAGTCTAGTAAAAATGTCCGTCTGCAGATGGGACGCTGTCCCGTCAGAAGTATCTTTCCAGAGGCAATGGAAATTCTGAAGCAAGAACAGCATTCTCTCAAGTAAGCATACTCTCAAGTCAAGGACAGGCTTAAAGGTTCATGTTTGAACTAACCGAGTATAGCTTCCTCTTCGACAATATTCTTCCTTTGTCAGAGGCAGTTCGAGGCTACGAGCTGTTCAACGAGTCCAAGGTCCAGAAGATTGTCTTCCAAGTCTGAATTTTTATGTAAGATGGCCTCAGACCCTGACACTGCTTGTTATCTTTAACCATCCATGGTGGCATTTCTTAGAGAGGAAAAGTCTAAATAATCAATTGTCTAAGTCTACAGTCTAGCTTATTGTTGCCTCATCTGATTGCTCAGTTATCTCACTCTTGATTGACACTGCCAGTTCCGAAAAGCTCCATGTTGATCTGCTCGTGCGCAACCCCCAAACTTTGTAGTTTATCCCTTGTTGCTACCATCCAGGAAGCAGGGCCACAGATGAAGAATTGGGCTTGCTCGTTTTGTAATTCTTCCTTCTTTGCTTGATACACAACATCAAGGTCTAACCGTCCCTCGAAATCGTAATCTTCGCCCTTCTTATCGTTTTGCGCCACGTTCTTGATCCAGATAAGGGTCTCGACGTTCTTGTGGCCCTGTGACACACTGCGAACGTGCCTACGAAAAGCCATCTGCTGAGACGTTCTAGCTCCATGCAGCCAAAGGATAGGTCTGTTCGCCATCTTCGATCGAGACGAGCTCAAAACTGACTCAAGCATGGAAAACAAAGGTGTAACACCAACGCCCGCCGAGATCAGGACGAGAGGTGCATTGACCTTTGTATCATCTTCAATGTCAAGCCAGAATTCGCCACGAGGATATGTCATCTCAAGCTCATCTCCAACCTGATAGTGGCTATGTAGAAGATTGGAGACGGTGCCGGGCAAAGGCTCGTCCTTTCCTTCCAAAGTGAAGCTCTCCTTCTTGACACTGATTCGGTAGTGGTCACTGTGAGGTACCTGACTCATGCTGTACTGACGACACTGGAAGATGCCACCAAGTTCAGGAACGTTGACTCGTAGGCTGACATACTGACCAGGACGGAACAGAGGCAATGGTGTCTTGCCATCCGATGGAACCAGATAGAAGCTTGTGATGAAGTCGGCCTCCTTCTCACGCTTGGCGATCTTGAACTTTCTCCAGCCGTCCCACTCGCCGGCCTCTTGATACAATTGCTTCTCGCGGTTGATAAAGATGCCGGCCAGTTGACCGTAGGCAGCCGTCCACGCATCAGCGATATCATCCGTCAGGGCATCGCCCAGTACTTCTGCGATGGCTTTGATAAGCTGCTCGCCAACAAGAGCATATTGGTCTTCCGTGACCTTCAGACTGACATGTTTCTGGGCAATGCGTTCGATTGTAGACGTTAAAACTTCGGGCCTGTCGATATAGGTTGCATACGCGAGCACCGCACCAGCCAGAGCTTTTGCTTGAGCGCCATCATGTTGATGACTGAGGTTGAAGATGTTGCGGAGCTCGGGGTAGGTGCCAATTAAGTTCTTGTAGAACAAGGATGTAATGGTCTCTCCATGAATCTTAAGAACAGGAGCTGTCGATTTGACAATGTCAACTTGGGAAGCTGTTAGCGACATGGCGAATAGTTGGTATTTTAAAGAAGAATAAATTGACCTCTAGGTGTACAATGCAAAGGATTGTCAAGAAATAGTGGCAAGTCAACTGTAATATATAGATTGGAATCAACGGCACATTTCCAATCGTTCGTGCTCGTAAAAAATTACCTTGTCACCCATGACCCCTGGGTAGATGCGAGGACGAAGCATTTTTTTCTGAAAATTCCACTTTCATAGTGGGACGTTATGAGATTTCCGCGGATTTCCTTTGAAGAGGCCTTCATTACAATGAACCAACCATGGCGTCTAGGAATGAGCTTTCCCAAAGGGGACTAGACTCCGATCATGCTCAGCGCGATGAACCGGAGCCCTCGGACCAATTGTCGGCCTGAACTTGGTTCTCAGGGATCACGTGTAATGTTCTTTTGTCACGTCAGCCGTGACGCGAACTTATCCGGGAACTTTCGGGAAACCGTACCGAGTGGTATCGAGTGGGATGGGGAAACTACCCTACATTATTCCTTTAATATGTTACAGAAAGGGTTGAACTGCATCTGGCCCTTTGGAAATGTCTATGTTAGACTATGAAATTGTCATGAATACTTCCTCTAAGTAGAAAAAAACTGTAATCGCAATGTCAAGACATGCCAGAGAATAAAATGAAGGTTAATGATAATCTGAGGGTAACGATTTGCAGCAGCTGTTGGGACAATTAATACTACACAATTAAAAAAATAGAAAACAAAAAAAGACCAATAATAAAAGTCTTAAGAAATACTCATGATAATGTAATAGTATTTTTAAGGGTAATTAGGCTAGAGTAAGCTATTACTTATTTTAACACTTTAACATTGGGAATTAAACCCTGGTCTTGAAGTGAATACGCTTGCACTAACAGCCCCATTACACTGTGAGGGCTCCTCATCACGTGAGCGAGTTATGCAGGTTATGCACGTTCCCCAGTAAAAGAGACCAGGAACAATTCATAATCCTGGATTCCTGACTCTATTGCCAGCCTGCTATAAATAAGTATAAACACATCCAGATAAATATTTAAATCGACAACTGCTTGTTAAACGGCTTACATACACAGACGGCATAGTCTGCATTTGCTCAATATAGTTATTAGCCAGGTTCAGGAAACCATTATGTAGAAGCTGAATGCTTATTAACCACGTTATTAAGCCCTTTGCAGCTTCCCAAATGGATTAAGAGCGCAAGCTAATTGACCAAAACCGCAGTAATTGCTCCGTAACAACATTTCTCAACCAACGGTTTGTCGCAAGGCCAGCTGACAAAGTCAAATCGCTATTATTCAGCATCGCTTGTCAGGCTTAGTCAACAGACATTCAGCCATCAAACCATTGAAAATACTAAAGAGATCCAATTAGACTCGTTGAATTGAGCCAGGAGCCAACCTCGGCTATAATGCATGGCTCGTTTGGTGTTCCACAACATCAATTCAAGGGAACGACTGTCGCGACTGAAAGACCATGGGGTTCAACAAGTCTATATAGCTTGAAGCCTTTTCATTGATTACCCATAGAACCTTTCCATTGCCGCTGGACAATAACGACTGTATCGCCTCGAGTAACCCTTTGTTCTCAACAAGTAGCAACATGTTGCTCCACTCAGTTCTAAGTCTGGTCGCTTTCCCAGCCGTCGCAACAAGCTATTCCTTCACTGCAAAGACAATTGGGCAACTTCCTCTTGGTACATGGTTGGAGAATGTTGCTGTGCGCCCCAATGGTGACCTCCTGGTAACGGAGCTATGGCCCTCAGCGACTGTCTATACTATCCTCAACCCAGCAGACTGCAAGTCTGGTCTCGAGGAGCTGGTCACCATCCCTTCTATTACTGGACTTCTCGGTATCGCCGAGGTACCCAAGAGCCCTGGTAAGGCCGAGACTTTTGTTGTTGTTGGCAGTGACGCGACCGCTCTCAGTCACTTGACACCAGGAACCTTTGAGGCTTGGGCCATTGAGTTTCCTAATCGACGACACCAGCCCAAGGTGAAAGTCAGAAAGATCAGCAACATGACCAAGAAGAGCACTTTTCTCAATGGCGTTGCCGCTATCCCGGATAGATCAGATGCTGTCCTAGTGTCTGACTCTGTGGCTGGGTTCGTCGGGCGTCTCGACTTATCCACGGGTGTCTTTGACGATTCAGCATTTGTGTTCCCCGAAATGGCCCCTATATCAGCTGATGCTTTCGGAATCAACGGTATCAAGATCCGCAACAACTACCTGTACTTCACGAACTCCAACGCGGTAAAGATATACCGCATTGCAATCACGCCAGCTGGGTACCCGAAAAAGGGAGCCAAGCCTCAGCTCGTCGCAGATCTTTCAAGCGGTGTTGGGTTTTTCGATGATTTCGAGTTTGACACGAATGGCAATATATATGCCACTACCAATTTTGACAATTCTATCGTCTTTGTGGATGTCAAGACTGGAGAATGGAGAACTGTTGTCGGGGGTATTCACGAGATGACAGTTGCTGGTTCGACTGCTGCCGCATTTGGTTATGGGAAGAAGGGGGAGAAGACCTTGTATGTTTCCACGTCGGGTGCACTTGCAAAGCCTGTTGATGGAACGAAGACAGAGGGTGCCAAGGTTGTTGCTGTGAAAATCCGTCCGTAGGGATCACCGGACAGTTCTACTGGAACAGCTAATAGACGATCCAAAGAGTAGCACTAAGACCATGCCAGCACCTATTCTTCATACTTCTATTCATAGCAATCAGACTCTTCCAAAGTCGAGAACCTATGAGAAAAGGCAGGATTGTGGACAAATATCATTATCATATCACCACGTACTACTGCTATGTACTCAATCACCCCTGTGTACTGCCCTTGAACCCAAATAAGTTATCATAAAACACATACACTGCTAGTTTTGTCGCTAAGACCCATACCTCTTTAATGACCCTGGTTTTCTGACTCACTGGCAGGATCAGCAAGCTTGGATCGATAAGCCATCTCATTAGGAGCTTCAGTCCCAGTAGCAACAGAGTAGTAAACCTTTGATGGCCGGTTGAAGACAAAGCCAGGGTGCGCAATAAAGAGGCAAAAGACAGCCACAACAATCAACCTGGACAAGGTGGTTAGTATGACAATCACCACTGTTAAGTAAAATGAATAGACTTACACTCCCTCTAATGCAATAAATAAGTCCTCATGCTTGATCAGCTCTCCTTGGTAACCCTCTTTGAGCTCATCGGCCCGGAAGATACAGCGAGCCAAAGTAGCAAGAACTGCGATGGCGAGAAAGGCAAAGAACAGCTTGTCTCTGGACCCGAGGATTCGGGACTTCTTAGATCGCAGGTATCGAAACATGTAGTCACCGAATAAGAGGCTGAATGCAACGAGCATGATTACTTGAAAAATCAGTCCTGCCATGGCGACATCGACCCCGACCTGGCTCGCACCGGATGAAGATGCTGAGAGACCTCCTCCAGTACCTTGCAAGATCAAAGAGATGATATCCATAGGTACAAATACCCAGGCAAAGTATTTAGTGGGAAATCGAGCGAGGCTTGGGCCATAATGCTCAATGCTGGGCAAAGGTCAGTTGATTGGCGATATCAATATGGCGAGTAACATACCTTTGGCCAAGGGTGACATAGATTGCTGCACAGTAGAAAACAGGAGCTTGCGTGATGGCAACTGCAATGTGTCAGTATGTTCTTCATTACAGACAGTTTGAAGCACCTACTGATCTGGGTGATAAATGCACCGAAACTCCACGGATTGACCCATAGCAGGATACGGGCTACATAACCCGTCACTTCATGTGTACAGCTCAAGATCATGCACCACATGAACCAAGGAGTCTTCCATTTAAAACCCAAGTAGGCATGCACAATAGTCGCAAAGGTGAACAAAGCGGCAAAGGAAATGTTGGCAGGAAGAGAAGGTCGGTAACCATAAACGCTCATCTCGATAGGGCAAAGCTGATGAGCCATGTTAGCAAAGAACGGGAGTCAATACTAGGAACTTGTATGGCTTGGCTCAGAGGTGAGATACGAGCGATGGGCCGGCTTTGATTGGGAAGACACGTACTTCCAAGGTACAGTTCGCCTTGGGCCCAAATATGACGAAGTTCCCTGTGTCGTTCATTGTGATATAAGTAAACTTCACAGTTATGCTATGCCAATGCGGCCAAGGGCGTGATGGAGAGGAATAGAATAAGGATGTTAGTGGGAACCAGACTATAAAATACTGTCGCTATCCTTTCGAGAGAGATTTTATCAGGATCTCACATCCATTCTTATACTGCAAACAACCGATCTACGAAACACTGCCACTTTCGCATTCGCATGGTATCCTCGCTGAGACCCCGACTTCACAGTCGTGTAACTGTTTCAAAGGAATAAGCTCATCCCTAGCCTCCACCCAACAGTTATGAAACAGGGAAGGACAAAGGAACAGATCCCTGTGAATTCCACTTAAGGTTGTGCGCCTAAATCAAAGTTAAGTTTAGGAGCATTGATATGCACGGGTAATCATATCCAATCTTTGCCAACGTGGCTGCGTGATAAAATGATAACAGTCGTGGATTTGCAGTATTGAAGGATCGGCGTACAAGGATCGACATCCCAGCAGCTCTTATTAACTGTCACGGCACAGCTGGACATATGGAAAACGGTAAGCGTTGCGGAGCGGCCAATCTACTCCGAGGGTACGTGACGCTAGTATGACAATGTGTAGTTGCTACCTTGTGTTGATCTAGCCTCCCGGACACATTCTCCCTTGACTGGGAACCGTAATGGGTTTTCTGGATACATGGATGGTATTTTAAGTACCGAAATGCCAAGACTTTGGTTAATGATACTCCCCGGGACTTGAAATTGACCGAAAAATATCGGTTCGCCTCTGGTGTCAAAGAATTCAGGTTATTTTACTTAGGAATCCTTCTAAAAGGTCAATCTAAATCGACGTAAACTACTTCTTAAGAAATATCATTTTTATATGCTGCTTAAAGACTGTTGTGAACATTTCAGTAGAGCATAATCAGCAGTCTCTAATGACTCGGTGGCATGGATTTTCTCTGCACTGAGAATCAGATCTGCACAAGCTTTTATTAAGTAAATCTCATTCACGTGGAATTTGCCATCTTTTTAGCGGCACGAATTTGAAATCATTATGAATCCAGTCTGGCGGATCATCACTCTTGCTACAGGCATATCAATATCCAATAATATGAACCTCCGGAATAATCATTCAGCAGCTACATCGTCCAATGATACTGACACCTGACCGAGCTGATCCGCAACTTCGCCCTAGCAATGACAAGATACGCAGCGGCCGCTTAGGCGGCTAATGAGCCTAATAGTCAACCTTACATCTTACAGGGAGAGTCTTGGCAGATACAGGGCTGTGCATTGATCCATAGCATAAGGAGAAGTGTAGTGTTGATTGGCTCTCTCGCATGGCTAACTCAAAAAGGCTTAAGCTTGGATAAGTCATCAACCTTCCCCACTACATGGGACCACGTTCATTGGCTTATGGAACTGTCAAGGATTCGGCCCTATGAAGCTTTCATTGGATGGCTAGATAGCCCTACTAGCAACCCTGTAATATCGTTGCATCCTGGAGGATCACGAAAACCGAAATAGAGGGCCAAGCCGTCATTAAATTATGCGGATGCGACATGCACAGCGGGGAGAACAGCAGTTGTGTTGCGAGGTAGCGAGGTAATGAGAAACCGATACTGAGAATAGAAATATTATTTGCCTAGTTTGGATACCATTCGCCGATCAAAAATGTCTCACAATTCGAAAATGAAAGATCCTGTATCTCTGTCTCCAACAGCAAATCAGCCATTGACACAGCCAACTGTAGGCCCATCCGCACTCCAATCCTCCTCATCATTGCACCAACCCACTGTCTCTGATCGGCAGAAGTGGTTCTCTGTATCCCGGCAAAGAATAAAGGCCAGATGAGTAAGAAACCTCCCGGGATCGGATTGCTGCCTAGATGCATTGTCTGCGCAAAACTCTCGATTGTATCATCTTGAGCTCGATATCCAAGATGATATGCAGCACTGTGACAGATCCCGTCTGCCATCGCGGCGAGGACTTTGGCGGAACTTTGTAATGCGTCTTTCTGCTCTGCAGTACCGTGTTTAAGCGTAGCTATAATGACGGACTCGTGTATCAAAAGCCTGACATTACGGTAACAATTCCACACGCAAGCTATCCATGGATCTGTATACATATCGTGCTGTAGATCATATCTACTAGAAGGCACGCCATTGGGACCAATGGATCTGTAAGACTTGTACTCCCAGCTTGGCGGTAGCGTTTGCGCCCACTCCTCCAAAAGCTTATCGATCTTAAGAAGCCTGTAAGAAATCACAGCCGGGTCTGTAATATGCTGGTGCTTGAGCTCAGCGCGGACACTAGCTAAGACTTCGTTGATCTCGGAGAAGCGATTAACCGGGACAAGGTCGCTGTTCTGGCTTCTTTCCGCCCAGCTCGACCATTTTGAGATCTCAAACGGTATGGGTTCCTGCAGCTGGTGACATGTTGTGATCTGGTACTGGGTCAGTGGGTGCAGGACCTAAGCGGGAATTCCGTCTTACCATGATGCGTCGCATCTGCATGAACATCTTCAAGCCAACCACGGTCTGGAACTGGGCTGGTCCACGCATTTCGATGCATCTTGCTGCAGCGATAATGTGTTGGCTGAACGCTTTCAGTGAGCCAGTGTCTGCAAAAGCAATAGTCTAGCACGAATTAGTACGTAAAACTCGAAATTGAGATAAGCGAGGCCGCACCTCAAAAGTCCCCATTAGCAGTACTGCACCAAGCGTTTCGTCAGACACTCTCTGAACAGGATCTTGCAGGGCAATTTGCAACTGACGAATGGCGCTATCATAAAGACGGAATGCTTCTGCCCGCCATTCTGACACGTTGCCGGCATTAGAAAGAGCGGCAAACCCCGCAGCCGCTACTGTTGTGCTGAGAAGCCCAAAAGAGGACTGTTGGTTTCGTATCAGCCCTGGGAGAAACTCGTGGTTATCCCTCAAGGGCAAGGTTCCTCCTGCGCTAGTCATATCAAAAACGTACTGCCGCATGAAGAAAGTAGTAGCTCTATCCCGTGCTGGGGGAGATACAGGTCGTTTCCATATTTCAGAGTTCGGGGTCACTGCAGAGCTTGATGTTGCTGTACTCGACATCCCAGCATTCTTCCTGGCAAGATCTGCGGTGGTTTGGTTGCGGAAGAACATTTTACTCTCCGAGGGCCCTGGGCATATCCATCCAGCCGTTTTGCACTGCGTGCATGATGGCGTTAGTTCATCGCACTGCTTCGTGTTAGAGATGCCATCAACAATGTTGAGATTTCCCCAGGTCGGAGTCTATCTATGTTTACCTTTATTTTCCGCTTCTTGCATGTCGCGCAACCACGGCTTGGCCTCCCGGTGTTGACCATGACTGATGAAATTCCGATTAAATAGATCAAAGGTCATTCCGACTTTCCCAAACACAGGTTGGGGATGCTAAGCTGGATAGAATATATATAAGGCACATTATTGATCCGCTGGCTTGAGGTTAGAGTTTCACCAAGCCCCAGCCGCCGAGCCTTTAGATGTGACGTATCATTGCATTGCCGCCAGTTCCAGGTCTTGATAAAATAGTGCTAATGGGATGTAAATGCATGCGCCTTTTAGGCGAGAAGGTCAAGACTGCCAATGCTACGATGCACCAAAGCGGGAGGAGGCGATGCAAGACCCCTGTCTTGCCGTTTGCCCAGTAAAAGCTAAGAGAAAAGTGGCTAAAATAGAAGGTGAATCACCAGTAGTTACACCAAGCGACAGCCTTCTCGCATTCGCAGTTAGTGAGAATAAAAAAAATGCGAAAGCAGTCCGAGATGAAAGGATCCGAACACAGCCTCAATATATGTCTTGAGTCTTACTAAGGATTGAACAATCCTGCGGTTTTCTGTTTTATCTTTCGATTTTGTTTGCTCTGATCGATCGCAACCTTTTTCTTCATGCGTCATTTAGATCCGCCAGTGTCGTAAAGTCCGCAGCCAACCCCTGTGCCAGGAAGATTGAGCCCCCGCAACTACCATCACGGCCTGGATAGATTTCTCGGTCCTGTTCTTATTATCAATGTGAAATAATGTTGGGGCAGTGCAAAAGATAAAATTAGTAAGGAGGTTGTTTGCTATTGCTGCTACTCTATAAGAGTGTATATTATAATACTCTCTCTAATTATTTATTTAAGGACATTGTCTATTTAGTGCTATGTGTAGTTATAGTGTTGTCTTCAATTTAGACTTTAACTATTATTACTATAATATATAATCTAAGTCTCTTTAGCTATTAGTTATTTCTCTATTATATCCTAATTATAGAAGAGAATTTATATATTTACTAATAAGTATATTTAATTAGAAAGTATGCAAGAACTATGGTACAATATATTAAAGGGATAAGACTATGTAAAAACGCAGGTCTAAAGACCAGAGCCTTTATCTCAACCAAATCTTGTTACCAAGGGTCAATGAGGCCACTATAGAATCTCAGGGAACACCGCAGTTTCGAGAACCTGCAGTAGCCAAATCGGTTGGGTCCGAGTCAAGATCAAATTTCGAAAACTCACAATCCCCATGTCCATCCCACACATACCAGGATAAGCACATAGGGTCGATCGAGCAGGCGCGCGCGCATGTAGCAACGGTCTTGTACTGATCGAAGCTTCTGTAAGGTTGTGGCCAGTTGTTATTCCACGCCATCTCGCCATTACATGCCCCAAGCACAGGCTTGAAGAAGTCTGAAGAGCAGCTTCGTGCACCGATGAGCATCTTTCTGCCGTCTCCTGTACCGTCAGACTCCAAAGTAACCAAGTCTGAAAAGGAACCGGAGAACATGTTGCAGGTCTGGAAGAGGCTGTCGTATTGCCAAACATCGCAGAGGCCGTTTTTCATGCACAAATGGGCGCAGTCGGCTTCGAGTAAAACATTGTTGGTATGCTCATCGGGTTCCCTCCCGGCCCAACCAAAGCCAATGTCACCGTTACAATCCTGATAGTCACGAGGAGAGCAGTTGCGTGATCCAATCAAGAGACCATCTTCATTAGAAGGAGCACTGAACTGGGGCAAGGTCTCTGTATAGAGGTTGCAAGCTCCGGCTGTAAGGAAGAACCACGAGTTACAGCTCTCATCACCAACACAGTTCTCCCAGCATTCCTGCTCGCTGATGGCTTCAGTTGTTGTGTAACCACGGCTTAAAGCGTTGCCACGATAGATTTGGTTGTTGCAAAAGACCTCGGGAGCAGCTGAAGACGTGGTGGCTGCAGCGGTAGTTGTTGTCTCGATTGTTGAAGAGAACCCGGTTGTGGAAGCCCCAATGGCAGTAGTAGTGGCGTCGGTGGTTGCAGTGGACTCGATTAGAGTGCTTGAGTCCGTAGCCGATTCAGTCTCGGAGCTGACGATCGAGGTACTAGTCTCGGTAACAGACGCCGGTATGGTAACAGATCCAGACACCGTTGATTGAGAGGTGGCAGAAGAGGCTGTCTCGGTGATACCAGTCGTGGTATGTGGCTTGCATGGGCTAGCGTTTACGCCAATGATGCTGAGGTAGGCCAAAGCAGCCACGATGCGCTTTGATTTAACCATTATGATAAACAGTAAAGAATGAAAATTGCCCAAAGGCGTCAAGGAATGACTGAGTTAAGAAAGTGAAACTGAGACAGAATGTTACGAAGAAGGAAGTCCAGTCTTTTTGTTAACTGATTGTCGCAAATTGCGTGGCTGTTCAGCTCAAGGTCTAGACTCTGTTGGAGTGACATGCACAGATCTTTCGAATGGGGTTATCGCTAACTGTGACCAATAGCCTTGATCAGACAAGCGTGAACCAGGACAAATTATTTACGCCACATTGCACTATTGAATAATTTTGAATGAAGTTCAACGCCAATGGTCAGACGCGATTTTTGACCTGTTTAAGAACCCTTTCTTTATTGACATCTGGCGCGAACAAATATGCACTATGGCCAGGAGAGGAGGTATTAAATAACAAAATACAAAACATCTTCTAGAATATCGTTGAATGCTTTAATCCCATGCCGGCTTATCGGAGCCAAGTGGCTTTGGCATGATGTCCCAGCCAACCTCTAAACCCTCGACAATAGCACTGTGCCGGATGGACTTCATGGTTCCAAAGCCTGTTTCCTGGACCTCGAAATACTCCTCAGGCACATCTTCGGGCTTGTCAAAATCTTTCGCCTCAAATCCAATCGCATCAGGATATTGACCCAGGCTTCTCAAATACTTCATCATGCCCGCCAATGAAACGTCGACTCTCCATGAACCGCCCTGGGCAGCACGATGATACACGGCAGCCATGACGCCAACGGCAAGCATGTATCCACCTGAATGATCGAGGGCCTGACAAGGTGTCGGGCGAGCAGGCTCGCCCTTCCCGGCGTGTTCAGCCTCGGAGACATTCATGCCGGAACATGTCTGCACCAGCGAGTCAAATCCTCGACGGCCTGACCATGGACCTTCAGGGCCAAAAGCAGACATGTTGGCTACGATGATGCTTGGATTGATCTTCCTCAATTCATCTTGGGACAGACCGTATGATGCAAGACTCCCAGGTCGATAACCTTGAACAAACACATCGCAATCCTTCAGAAGGTTGAGAAGTTGCTTTCGATCCTCAGAGTTATGAATATCGAGTTGGACAGTCTTTTTCCCTCGTCCAAATTCTCGATCGACCCTCGGCAGATCTGGCAGCGTTGGAGAAGTCACCCAAATCACCTCAGCACCATGAGCCGCTAAGGTCTTGCCACATAATGGTGCAGCAATCACCCGACTCATCTCAACAACCCGGAGACCTTGGAGGCACTTGAGGTTCCCAGGCTGCATCCTGCTTGGCAAACCAGTTGGAGATAATGGTGAGACCTGCTTGATGCTAATAGGGAAGTTGCTGATAGCCTTCGACTGAGGGAGCTTATCCCACTGACGATATGAGCGCAGAGCATAAATTGCGACTTTGCCCTCTGCTGTTCCGCAATTTTCCAAGTCAATACTAGCCCAGTCTGCAGTCTGCTCAGACACCTGCTGTCGAGTCGCACCAGCACTCAAGCCAAGCAAGTCAAGAGTACCTTGCACATGGTTTGGAAATCCGTCATGGATTCGAACGTAGCCATCCGAGGTCTTATGCAGGCCACCAATTGCGCCCCCAGATGGAGGAGGAAGCTCGTCAGCAACGGTATACAATCTTTCACACTTGTACTCTACGACGGCGTGCTCGAGTGGTACCGTCACTTTAGGAACATGGGTCTTGCTGCGAAAGGCATGAATCTGAGCAGCTGTTAGAGCAGACAGTCCGATGGAGGCTTGTGCGAGGATTCCGATTTTGAATGACGAAGGAAGAGCTGGGCCCTCTTCACCAGGAAGCCTGACTGATGCCAAGGAGGCCTCAGGCAGATCGAGACCTGTCCAAACTTCCTTCAGCGCATCAAATGATTTGTAGTTTGCTCGGTCAATGTTATGTGAGGCCTTGCTTGCATCGGGTATGTGAATGCTGCACGATTCTGAGGCTTGCTCCGATGTCGGCATCATAGCGGGATGTGGCGGAGGTAACGCCTCGGATTCGAAAGCCGGTAAAGTCTTCAATATTCACCAATGGAACACAAACTTGACAATAACAAGTGCATAAAGGTATGGAAAGACTGGGTTGACTGAAGGTACGTAGTACGTTGCAGGAGCTTATCATCCCCGCCTTCGGTAGGCATCACCTTTAATAACCGAGTAGCCAATCATATCTTATCAGCAGGAAGGTGACGCCGATTCATCGAGATTACAGCGCTGCTCGTAAAATAGCCAAAAAGAACAAGCAGTGATTTAGACCTGGGTTAGCAGCATACTAAATGTGAACCAGTTGGCAAAATGGCTGGCTGAAAATATGCATACAGTTTCAGTAACTCAGCCAGCTCGCTCTAGCGGCTTCCAGACAGCTGACAGTGGCCTATCGGAACGTTGGACTTGGCAGTTACTTATCCTGGAAATGACTACAGACCCAACTGTACGAGACAGCTTCCCGAACTATCGGTACCATGCCATACCAGGGAGCGGTGGAGTTAATCCCATTGGTTAGGAATTTGACATATTGAGAGAAGAGGTAAAAATGGCTGGCTCAAACGAGGTCACTATCTAAACTGGACAACGGACCGCCAAGCACCATTAAAGCTTTTAGTCTAACTCGGATTAGCTATGTCTAACGCTGGATCAGTCTCTTCCTATTCAACCGTATCGGTTCTGGTGGATCAAGCCACAATGGAGGTCTCACCGCTTATTGAAGTCACGGGTAGTAACGCTGAGGCATTGCCTGTCTAACGATTTCATAAAAGAGAGACAGTCGACCAACAGGTATCGAGCTACAGGCAAAGAGTTGAGCTGTTATAAATGTTTCGTATTGGTGTTTCGAAAGCCCTGCAATTACCAACAAGTTCGAGCTGCAAGCATACGACAAGAGACTGATAGCCAGTCATTGGATAACTAAAAGAGCTTAAAGTAAGCATCTAGAACCTAATTGACTTCATGTGGCTTAATAGTGCAAAAGCCTTGTTTGCTTAGCAAGACTAGGCTATGAAGCTACTTGGGGATCTTGTGTTTACAGAGCAACGAGGACCTCGCCTGTCTATAAAAGGCTGCGTTATCCTCTGTCAACCAAGAAAACAGACACAAATTACCTTCTCGGCTCACCGATCACCAGAGTTCCCAAAATGCAAATCAAGTCATTCCTCGTTGCCTGTACTTTGTACATGTCATTCGCCATGGCAACCCCCCTCGAAAAGAAAGGCTGTGTGTGCCTCTGTGACGCCAACTACATCTTGGTCACGCAGGTTGGTAGCAGCAATTGCGACTTCAGAAACCCATGCTGCAAGTCCACCTGTGTACCTAAGAAGGGCACCACAGGTAAGGCAGGACCAGCCAAATCTTCCTGCTAAATTCCCGCCTGTCCAACGTGAGCTTCCCCTTCCAATAAACAGGTGTAGATGAACTTGATCTCTAACAAAATAAGCAACACAATACAGCAACTTCAGCAACGGCCATGGGTCTCATGTGCAAGGATAAAGGCTTCAAAGATCAAGTGAAGGACTAAACATACCTGTTTTCGAATGCATGCCTTTTTAGCTTTTCTTGGCCATATGCCCAATATTGTCTGTTGCAGGAGTCTATATGTCGATAGGTGTGATGCCTGTCCAGAGAGATGACTGAGAACGACCTCATGAGCTATCTATCTACAGAAGATCTTTCCATGCGTTTTCAGTCTTCCTCTATCTTTTGAAGTGCCATCTAAGTCATCTTCGCTATGTTTTCATGACCCGATGACTATTTCATTGTGCTGTAAATGTATTGGAACCGAGCAAGTGAAGCCGGATCATCTGTTTAGTGTCTGGATCTTTCCATTTGTGGACGTATTTTATTAGGCTTTTTGTATTCATGTCACAGGTATCAGATCTATCAATAACCACTAGCAATTATTGAGACATCGCTATCTCGCTGAATGTAACCAAGCCACTGACAAAACTTCGTTTCATCTTATATTGCAATGTAGCTTACGTATGCTCTGAATCCCAATCGGGACGCCCCCCATTTGCGGGAAGTGGGCGTCTTGTCTAAGCCTCCCTGCGAGTTCGGGATCGCCACTCGATTCCGGCTCAATCCATAACTTCATATGATTTAATTTCCTGTACCGAAATCTTGAATATGGATAACAAACGCGTGGCATATTCTGGGTCGGACCTGGTGGTGACGAAGCCATGGCCAATGAGAAATAATATAAAACAATTATTTCGACTTGTCATGCAAAAGCGCCTCAAGTTAAGCAACATCTTATCTGACCTCTCACTCGCTCTAGCAACAATCATTCACCATAATGCGACAATCATTCGCAGTCATTATGGCTGCGTTAGCCTCGCCATCACTCGCGTCCTCTCTTTCCGAACTATGTACCGTCTCGAACCTAAAGGCTGCGCTGCCCTCTAATGGAACCCTTTTGGGGATCAATATGATCCCATCTTCCATCACGGCTTCCACAGCGGTTTATAACGCCAGCGCTAGCATGGGAGGTGGACCAATGCGTCGTGATACCGATACTTACAACTACTGTAACGTCACTGTCGCATACACCCACGGTAGCAAGGGAGATACAGTCAACCTCAAGTATGCCTTTCCTGATCCCGAAAACTTCAAGAGCCGATTCTATGTTGCGGGCGGAGGTGGTTACTCCCTCAATACTGATACCACTGGTGGCCTCAAGTATGGAGCTGCCGCTGGAGCCACTGATGGTGGATACGACGCCTTCAACTACAGTCTCGATGAGAAATTTCTTCTTGGCAACGGTTCTATTAACTGGGATGCGACATACATGTTCTCTTACCAAGCTCTCGGAGAGATGACGCACATCGGAAAGTCCATCACCAAGAATCTTTATGGCTTGTCAAAGTCGAGTAAAGTCTATACCTATTACGAGGGCTGCTCAGATGGTGGAAGAGAGGGAATGAGTCAGGTTCAACGATGGGGCGACGAGTATGACGGTGTCATTGCTGGAGCTCCCGCTTTTCGCTTCGCACAGCAACAGGTCCTCCACGTCTACCCTGCCACCGTTGAGCACACTCTTGACTATTACCCCCCTCCTTGTGAGCTCAAGAAGATCGTCAACGCCACTATCGAGGCCTGCGATGCTCTCGATGGAAGGAAAGATGGCGTTATCTCACGAACAGATCTTTGTAAGATTAACTTCAAACTCAAGTCACTCATTGGCAAGAAGTATTACTGTGCAGCTGAGACCAGTTCTTCACTTGGCTTTGGGTTCAGTAAGAGACAGGCTCCGGGCAGCCAGACGAGTAATGCCCCCGAACAGAATGGCACCATTACTGCTGAGGGTGTTGCCGTTGCTCAGGCTATTTACGATGGTATCTTCAACAGCAAGGACGAGAGAGCGTATCTGTCTTGGCAGATTGGCTCTGAACTGTCTGATGGTGAGCCCACCTACGATAACAACACCAACAAGTGGACTCTGAACATCCCCTCTACTGGTGGCATGTACGTTGCAAAGTTCATCGAGCTTCTCGACCTCGATAACCTTGATAACCTCAACAATGTCACATATGACACCTTAGTAGACTGGATCAACACTGGTATGGTCCGTTACTACGACAGTCTACAGACTACTCATCCCGACCTCACAGCCTTCCAGGAAGCTGGTGGTAAGCTCCTCCACTACCATGGAGAATCTGATCCCAGCATCCCCGCAGGTTCTTCAGTTCACTACTGGCAGTCTGTCCGATCCATCATGTATCCGAAACTGTCCGATGAGAAGGCACAAAAGGCTCTTTCTGAATGGTACCAGTTCTATCTCGTTCCTGGAGCCGGTCACTGTGGCACCAACTCTCTTCAGCCAGGTCCTTATCCTCAGAACAATATGAACGTTATGATTGATTGGGTCGAGAATGGCAAGCAACCGTCGAGGCTTAATGCGACTGTTTCTTCAGGCGACTACAAAGGAGAGACACAGATGCTGTGTCAGTGGCCGAAGCGACCTCTTTGGAAGAATGAAAAGAGGTTTGAGTGTGTGAATGACGAGAAGTCAGTCGAGAGTTGGACATACAGTTTCAATGCTTTCAAGATTCCTGTATATTAGTACCTTTGGCCGCCTGGGGACCTGGCTGGTTGGCCTAAACGGAGGACTTGTTGTATATATATGTATTGTTTTCGAATCATAATTAGGGGAACCAGCCTTTTCTTGCCATTGTCTTTGTCGCCAGGTGATTAATTACCAACCTTGAACTTTGCATATAACATATCCATGTATAATAGAGGGCGAGTCTGATGAGGCTACTGCTGAGATCGATAATGCAAGGGTTTCTTTCCTTAGTCACTTTGGTAGACCAAGCTATCGAATGTTGCAAAAATGGAAAAGCTCACCGAGTCAGTTAGCTATTACTCTGTCAGTAAAATGCCGAGGCTAAAACGAACCTGGCCCCCCTCGCATTTTCACTCCACAATTCTCGCTCTTGAATCCTCAATTACTGCAACTTGACAACGCCAGAAATAGGCGATTGACATAAGCATACAATCTCACATGGGCTCTCCAAACCCGAGTGATGAGTCGCTACCATCACCAATACCCCAACAGCAGCCGAAAACCCAACGATCACGAGGCGGATGTCAGACGTGTCGGGTAAAAAAGGTCAAATGCGATGAGACGCGCCCGATTTGCCGACGATGCACCCGCCTGGAATTGAGTTGCGACTATACGCGCATCCCACGCAAAAAGTACACCAGACGCGTTATCGCATCTCCAGTTGCGTCGACTCCTGCAAACCTGATCGCCAGCGCAGATGTGGCGTCGACGCCTAGCACCAGTTTCACAACCCCTGGTGATCATCCATATTCTGGGGAGGCTTACTCCGCAGGCCTTGGAGGTGGTCCGTTATCCGATACTCAGAGTGCAGATATCAGTCTGCCACCACTCGGTACCATTGCCGACGACGGCCTCGAACTTGAACTCTCACCCGACTGCGCCGCTATTTTGTTCCCTTCCGATCACTCGGCAATCCACTTCTTCCGATTTGTCCTTCCAGGCATGGTTGGTACACGGATATCAATGCACAGCGGTCCTGGGCTGGTCTGGAAGTTGGCCCAGCAGAGCCCCATGGTTCTTCACATGGTCTGCGCAGTCAGTGGCCAGTCCTGGTCTGAGAAGACTACTGGCTCTGAGTCAGATGCTGAATTCAGACGAATGAGAGCTATCCAACACTATAGGGATGGCCTACAGATGCTGGCTGCGGCTACGCAGATCCCCAGCGAGATAACCTATCTTCCACCTGTTCTGGCTACCTTATGGCTCATGCTCTTGTATGAACTCAAGTTTGGAGACGGCTGCGGCATTGGCTTTGATGCGCACCTGAGAGGCGCCACCTCAATACTACTGGGGCGATCGCAACTCACCAGCAACGAAACTAACGAAGCGCATATGTCACACATCATCAAAGCTGAGAGCTTTTGCCCTGTCTCCTGCAAGATACTCATATGGCTCTCGCACGCCGATGGAGGTGCTGTTCTGAATGGCTTTGGCGGGGCATTCAACAACCTTCTGGGAGACTCTTCATCCGGCATGTCCGAGAGTGAAGCGCAAAGTCGCTTGGAACGCGTCAGACAACTGCAAAAGCGATCTGTTCTTGCCAACTATGACTTGTGGGGGAGATCATATCCCCAGACGGAACTGCTGGAGGACCTACAGTGTAGTGACCTATCATGTTTCGACGCTGAGTCTGCTCAGCTGAAGTTTATGGTCGGTGCTTTAGCCGCAGCCGAGTATAGTGACAAGGTCCCCCACGGTTCGTGGAGGCAGTCTGTTGCAGGTGCCATTCGCAGTGTCAGATATAGATATGGAGAGTTGATCAGTGTGGCCAACCGCCTTGAACTACCCAATGATGGACCCCATCTGCGATTCGTAATGGAGTTGCAGTCGGTCGTTTCCTGCTTCCACGCCATCTTTGTTTGTTTCCTCCGCATTATCCACGGAAGTAAAGCAATGGTATCAGAGCAGCGTGAGACCATGAAAGAGATCATGTCACTGGCATTCAAGGTTTATCGAGATCAAGGAGAACCGGGTCTAGCGCGGCTAGGCTGGCCATTATTCGTGGTCGCTATCGAGTCAGACGATATACTCCATAGATCTTGGGTGCTGGACCGGTTTAGCGAGCTTGCATCGCATGGGGAGAACTATCGGCAGGCTTATCAAGCTATACGGGTTGCTGTGGCAGGTAGGCCATTGGATGAAAGGACAATGGGCTATTTCGAAGTGTTCCGCGTCGAGTCTTTCCCGCGATTCCTGCTTTGCCAAGGTTGTTGAAAGAAAGAGATAAACAGACTTCTGAAATTACCGATCGGCAAAAAATATCAACTCGTACTGAATTAGCCGACGCCACTTGCTTGCCACCTCCAGAAATCTAGACCATTCTCTCCACATTCATCTTTTTTGATCACCCCGCATTCTGTACTCCAGATTCACCAGTAACCAAACCCTTGGATTGAGATATGCAGGCAGGGTGAGATATGGCCAGTCCCAATAGGGATACAACCATTGATAAGCTGCTTAAACTCAAGACTGTGGCGTCTTCTTTCTATCTGGACCACGAAGACAATTGTTAATACTTATACTTCCATGAGAGAAGAGTTTCCAATGTCTCCCTTCCATCTCTCCAGACCTCTCCTTTCACTTTTGTTTCACCTCCAATCCAGCGATATCCAGCTCTACCAAAACCATGTGGTCGCCAACCGGTATCATTGGGCCTTTTCAGCCCAAATCGAGTCGACTTACAGTCATGCTTCTCGTTGCAACCGCAGCTGTCTACGCAACGACTGCCGGTTACGACTCTGCGCTCATGAGCGGAATCAACATCATACCCTCATATACTGAGTTCCTGAACCTCAACACTACTACTCGAGCTTTGAACGTGTCTGCAAACTTCATTGGATGGGGCATTGCATCCTTGACCATGGGTCCCGTTGTCAATGCGATTGGCCGCAAGAACTCCATTTTGGTGGCTCTCTTGACCAAGCTTTTCAGTATTGGATTGGTTGCTGGCTCCCAGGACTTTGCCATGTTCCTTTCCGGTCGAATCATTCTGGGCTTGGCGTCTGGACTATCCAGCATTGCCGGTTCGACGTAAGAGTGCCCTCTATCTTGCATCTCTTGTGATTTAGCTAACCTCTCTTACATGCAGTTGGCTCGCGGAGACTCTTCCACCTAAGATTCGCGGGCTCGGTCTAAGCATTACCTTCTCCGTCTACTACGTTGGTGCCTTGATCTCTGCAGGCATCACCTATCGTACTGCCGAAATCTCCGGAGAGTGGTCCTGGCGCCTTCCTATTCTTCTACAGAGCATGTTCTCCTTGATCTGCATCTTCTGCCTCCTCTTAACTCCCGAATCACCCCGGTGGCTTGCCCATCAAGATATGTTGGAGGAGGCTCTCCAAGTCATAGCGTCAATCGCCGCCAATGGAGAACAGTCAAACCAGGAAGTTTGCGAGCAATATCAAGGCATGGTCGATAGCAGAGAAAGAGAGAGAAGTGAAGGCAAGACAGCATCATACACTGAGCTTTTCACGACTCGCAGTGCTCGGAGGCGAGTCATGCTTGCCGTTTCAGTAGCTGTCATCGTCATGGCGAGCGGTAGGTCCCAGATCGGCATGCTGATAGTCTTTGAATACTGACTGCATTAGGAAATAACATTGCATCATTTTTCCTTGGGGACATGCTCACGAACGCTGGAATCACCAATAGAACTACACAGCTACAAATCGTATGTTAGGATATTCCGATACTAGTATGTATTGCTAACCGTGTCCAGAACATTGTACTGCAATCTTGGTGTCTCGTTTGTGCAATGATAGGGACGTTTCTGATGGATAGAGCTGGCCGAAAGACGCTCTGTCTCTCTGCTTGCGTCGGAATGACCATCTTGATGTTTGTTATCGGTGCACTGACAAAAGGTGAGCTGCGCCAGACCCATAACATATACTCAAGCTAATACTTCCATAGCTTTCAGCACTAGCCAAGATCTCGCTGGGATCTACGGGACTGTCGCTTGTATCTTCCTCTTCATGGGTGCATACAGTGTCGGCATCACTCCTATTACGCAGCTGTACCCTCCTGAAGTTCTAAGCTACTCTATCCGTACTAACGGAATGGCTATATGGGCTGGAACAATTGCTATATTTGCGTAAGATTCCCGTCAAGCCCATCGCATCTTGGACCATGCTAACAGTAGCTACAGTATTGGAACCACTCTTGTGTTCCCCATCGCGCTTGAGGCTATCTCCTGGCGCCTCTACTTCATCATCGGAGCTTGGGATGTCCTAGAGACCATCTTTGTTGCTGTGTTTTGGGTCGAAACAAAAGGACTGTCTCTCGAGGAGATTGACGAGTTGTTTGAAGGGGTAGTTTACAACGGCCATGGAGTTGCTGAGGTTCGTGAAGATGGGGTCATGACTAAGGATCAAGATGGGAAGGATCGATCTGTCTCTATTTCGCAATCGGCCACGGAGTAGTTGTTTAGCTAGAGTTTGCACTCAACAAGCCAACATATTTGTCTGCTTTAGCTTCAACCTCATTCGTTTAAATACTCTCACTGAAATTAACCGACGTCATATACGTTCCAACTACTTTACTCGATGTTACAGTGGGGAATTGGTTCATCCGGAGAGAGACAGTGGCAGGCTGAAAGGGGTGCACTACCAACTGCCGAGACTCCAAAAGTACAGCCGCACCTCTCTGAGTTGTTGGTGTCTTGTCTTTGACAGCATACAATCGGCAAGGTCTATTGTATTTAACATCAGACCTGAATTTAACTAAGTTCTGTGAGGTGATTATAAGTTCTCAACCGCAGGCCCCAACAATTACCGTACCTGTTTCCCATCTTTTTGAGATATAATCAGATGGTGAACTCCACAATATGCATACATCAAGTTAAGAAATCGTTCAGTATATGTAGTACGTAACAGGGGCACCAGAAACTAATTCTTCCGACCAAGAAGCCATCCCAAACCAGAAACCGCATCTTCAGCAAATCGGGCGCTGGCACTGTGAGTTGGATAATCATACCAAAACACATGCGGTAATCCTTCATACACGACCGTCTTGGTTTTAACGCCACTCTCGACTCGAAGTTCCCTCTCATAGATCAATGCCTCATCCCTCAGCAAATCCGCCCCACAGATCTGAAAGAACGATGGAGGCAGGTTTTTATGTCCAGTTGGCCAAAGCAGAGGGTTCCAAAGTGGCGACGTGAAGTCTGGCTCAACAGCCTTGTCATACATTTCCGTGGACTTTGCAGTGAGCGTCATGCCATTCTTCAGCTGTTCCCTACTGTTGTAGAGAGGCTTGTACTTGTCAGTAAGTGCCTGTGGCATCAGTGCTGGCGGAACGCAATGGTACAGCCCAGTGATTGGAGGCGAGAGCTTTTCATCCCGAGCCTGGTGAGCTAAGGGGATGCTAAGATGTGAGCCCGCCGAAGTCCCACCAAAGATAAATCCATGCGTTGGGTCAGCTTGGAGAGAGGCCGCGTTCTTGGATAGCTGTTTCGGTTCGTGTTTAGTGGAAGAAATCTTATGTTGGAAAATTTGACCTACCCATACGAGAGCGTCCCAGCAATCGTCATACGCGACCGGGAACTTGACTTCTGGGGAAAGTCGATACTCCAAACTCACTGCAACGCAATCGTATTTTCGGACTGCCCCAACGCAGGTTGGCATCTCCATCTCGGCGTTGCCTAGGATGAATCCTCCACCATGGATAAGCACTACAAGAGGTCGATCCTTCTTCGGCTGGTAAGTCTTGCGACGATAGACAAGCGCTCGGACCTTGAATCCGTCTCTGACAGGAATATGAATCTCTTCCTCAGACACTTCGTCTTGCATTTGAGCACGAAGCGTAGCAGCATCCTGCTGGAAAAGACTGTCAAACTTGGCTCGCGTTTGTGGTAGAGTAAGATGCTCAATATCACCAGTGAACCTCGCCTTCGTTCCATTTTTGATCATCTACACAATTCTGGTTAGTACTTCTGAAGATATGATAGCCACTATGGATATTGTTTACTGACTTCTTGTAGCTCACTGTCAATTGTCGCTGCTAAATGCCATGTTCCAGGCTTGTTGACATTAAAGGCTTGAGCTGTCATGGTTGAAAGTGATACAGCAGTTAGGCTAGAGAAATGATAAAGAATAAGGATTCTGATTGATATAGGTTGAGTAGAATCTCAGGCGCATTAATGGGCATTATTATGTTCTGGCTCTATTAAACAGAAACGTGACTCGATATGAAACAATTAAGTCTCTATCAACAAATGGCCCAAGTGACCCAGGTGGTATCGGGTAAGTTCGTCAAACTGGTCGGCATTTTCAGCTGCCGGGTCGGCTAATCAGATTGCTGAATTACGCTAGCGGGCTTGGGTTAGTGGGTGGGGCGAGACTCAAGGTGACCAATTTTGCGATCGGCTAATTCACTGGGCCACGAAAATGCGCTCTCATTCTCCCTTACAGCTGAAAGCGCAGTTGGCCGAGAAGAGACTAATGTAGTTGCCTTTGTAGCTCGGCTAGGTGGAAAGGAATAATAGCCGATTGGAGTTCTGTATCTGACCTCACTGGATTGTTTTTATATACAGAGTACCATTAAACCAAATCACTTGCTTTCTGCATCATATTGTTGATCCCAATAAATTACTTCCCGTTCTTAAGCACTAAAACTGTTGTCGTCCATATCTGCATCAGCATTCACTTTGGCATTTGAATACTTGAATAAAAATGTCTTATACTGAAACAGAGCAGCTTGAACTAGCACAGCAGCTTGTGCTGGAGTACGTCTACAGATACTTTGCCATGTCATCAACTTTAAGTCACCCAACTAACAATAAATAGATGTGACCTTTTGGACCAGAGATTTGCTGCTTTGAAGAAGTCGTTGATCAAGCCAGAGAACAAACAGAAGGTGATTGAATCGTATGACCGTCTGGTCAAGATTCTGCGTAAGGAAGTCGATCACATCGACAAGCATGGAGCTGCTCTGGTTCCAGAAATTGACTTTGACGACGTCCGAAAGAATGGTATGTGGATCGATATTAAGGAGCTGTTTTTAACCGTGTTACGAAGTTCTGTTCTAATCTACCTGTACTTGTAGGTGGCAATCTCCCCGAAGACTTCACCAAGTTGGTGCATGAGCGAGGCTGTCTGATCCTTCGAAACGTCGTCAGTGAAGAGCAGGCGGTCAGTTGGGAGACATCTCTGAAGGACTACACCCAACGTCATCCAGGCGTAGGAGGCCATCCTCACCATAAACCAGCAGCTTGGAACGTGTTCTGGACCAAGGCACAGATGGAAATGCGAACCCATCCAAGAGTCCTGGAAGCCATGAGATGTGTGTCCAGATTATGGCACGTTTCTGATCCCACAATCCCTATTGATCTCGACAGCCAGGTCATCTACCCTGATCGAATTCGCATCCGCTACCCAAGCAATGATCCCGGCCAGTTTCCTTTGGACCCTCATATGGACAGTGGAGCAATCGAGAGATGGGAAGATGAAGAGAACCGGAAGAACTACCAGGCCATTTTTGAAGGCAACTGGCAAGACTGGGATGCATGGTCTGCGGATCATCGTATCAAAGCGCAGAGTGACCTTTATCACACTGGGACAGCTTGCTCAGTATGGAGAAGCCTCCAAGGATGGCTGTCCCTCTCAAACACGCAGACTGGTGAAGGAACACTCCGAGTACTGCCCAGTTTGAAGCTGTCTATGGCATATATCATGCTGCGACCTCTGTTCCATAGTGGAGAGTACAACGATTCTCTACCTACGTTCCCGGGTGCCACTCCAGGTCAGACCCAGTTCTTCCCAACTGTTGAGGGTCACCCAGATCTTGATATCAAGCGAGCCATCGTCGGTATTTCTCCAGTTCGACCTGGCGATTATGTATTCTGGCATTGCGACTTGGTCCACGGCGTGGATCCTACAAACCCTGGACTCGTCGATTCAAGCGTGTCATACAACGCGTGCAATCCGCTGACACCTTACAATATTGAGTCTCTCCTGACAACGCGGGACGCCTTTCAGAGGGGAGATGTTCCGATTGACTTTACGCGATCACATGGCACGTGGGAGAGGGAATATGACCATGAAGACTGCGGAGCCAAGGTTGAGAACATCCTTACCAAGGCGGGTCTTCAGGCAATGGGTCTTGAGAGACTTGACACGGAAGAAGAGGGTCTGACACAGGGTCAGAAAGATGTGCGCGAAATGGCGAACAGGAAATTGGGACTTTGAGTAGAAAAGACATAAAATTTGAATTGATGTGATTGTCGCGACTCTCGTCTTTTTATTAAAAACCGTAATATAATTTTCCCCAAATACACCAAACACAATTATTCCCATACAACTGCTCCCTCAGGTGCAGGCGTCTGAACGACGGGGATGACCTGGGTGTCGGTGCCGTTCCATTCGGGTGTTTGGGTTGCTCCACCTCGGTACCAGTTTGTCTCGGGATCTCCAAGACATTCCCCCACGGTCACAGCTAGACAAGAATCAGCCCGACATATGTCTCGGAACAGGACACCAAAAGCTTACCTCTCTTTCCACTTCGAAGAGTTGCCTCAATAATTCGAGGAAGGATGTTCTGAACAGTATTCTGATGAACGTCATGCATAAGAACAATGGAGCCGCCATTGTTGAGCCCAGCGTAGTATGAAGCTAGGGAGGGTTCGGCACCGCCGAATGACGAATACTGCCAATCGACGGTGTCGATATCAGCAATAATAACCTTGTAGCCCAACTGACCCAGAACTCCAAGAGTTCGAGCGTTGAAGCTTAAGTAGGGGGGGCGCATGTAAACAGGATACTTGCCGATGATGTTGGAAAACTCGTTGCTGAGGAGCGACATTTGCTGCTCAACGTCGAAATCACCTAGGCCTGCGAGATCGGGATGTCCGTAGCTGTATAAAGTCAGTGGATGGCACATTGACGTGGCCGATGTTTGGTAAACATACGTATGCGAAGCAACTTGGTGCCCTTCTTGGATCATTCTGTTAACAGTGGATTGGTAGTCCATGATATTCCCTATGTTGTAACCGTTGAGGAAGAACGTGGCCTTCATTCCAGCTGAAGCAAGCTGATCGAGAACAGAATCCGTGTAAATGAATGGGCCGTCATCGAAAGTGAGAGCAATGGTGTTCGGTTGAGTGCAGCTATAAATAGCAAACCCAGCTGAAACCTCCCTCTTTTTCGGGTACACAGGGATTGATAGTGTGGAGGTAAGATGGCACAGGGATGCCAGTACAGCAAGACTACGCATTGTGAGTCATTAGTTGCCGAACAAAGAGATGAACCAGGAAGTGAACCAGAAATTGAAGAAATATGAGAAGATAAGAAGTCGCAAGCAAATTGGCATTAACTCACCTCAAAGCTATTATTATAGCCTATCTATTTCCGCATACGAGCAGCTGCATCAGTAGAGATTGGCCCAACAACAAATGCCCGTCATCGTGTATGCAAGGAGAAATAACCAACACGATAAGGTTCTCGGGTTTCCAGAGCGACAGGGGCCACTCGGGACTTTTTCAGGCGCTAAAATTCAAGGTGGCTTACTAGTCCCAATATTATCAAAACACGATTGGCGGGGATTACAAACAGATCCGAACATTGACGTGAGACAGCATAATCCAAGAATCATTTATTGGAAAAGGCGCTTTTGCTTCTTCTTGAGATATCACTTAGTTTTGGTAATTGAATTCTTGGCATTTGGTCCACCAAAACTTCTGTTGCTTGGCCACTGGGACGTACTTGTCGTCTTATCGTTGAGGGGGTTGATCTTGCGATGACGAGATTAGTGCAAGCCACGTTTTCAACTCGTTGGTACCTTTGTTGACAAAGCGAATGAGGAGTAAAGTAACGACTCAAGCGTCGCCTCCGAGTCGCGGCTTTGTAATTTATCTACGCTGTTTCCCGGCTTCCACCGATTTTCATAGGGCTCGCTGATATCTCGTTGAAAAGCAAATAAATCGCATTCAAATGATTGTATCTTGGCAGGTAGGCAAAAGAAAATGTCGTTGCGCGCAATGTTTACTCCCTCTCCCCCTCCTCCCCCCCACCCAGATGCTTCATTACGCCGTTCTCCGTATTCTGTGTTTCGCCCTCCAAGCTATGACGTTCCTCTTCACCCTTCTCCTGTTCACCCTTCCATCTCGTCTCATCGTCCATAGCCTTCTTATGCGCCGCCTCCTGCGTAAACACATGCTTCTGTGCCTCGTCCTCTATGCCTTCAGCGTTGCTGTAAGCTGCCTTCGCTTGCTTCTCTTGCTCTTCAAGCTCCGTAGTGCGTTGCTTGTTTGCAGTTGCTTCCCGGATTTGAGCAACGAGGTTTTGCCATGCGGTATGCCTCTCTTGACTTGTTTGCTGCTTTGTCTGAAGATCCGACCTCGCCCTGATCAATTCAGCTTCAGCAGTTGCGATGTTTCTAGTGCTGCTCTGAAGTTTTGATCCGAGACTTTCAAGTTGATGGTTTATGAGTGCAAGCTTTAAATACTTATCAGCCACGGCGTCAAAAGCAGCTTCAGGTGAACCGCTCGCCTTGGTAGCGCCCTTGTATGCTTTCATGGCTCTGTGGTCAATAGCTTCCAAGAAGATCGCAGACGTCTTGTCACGATCTCCTTGCGCCATCAGGTTATGCTCGTCCATGTAGGAAGTCACGTACTTGCTCAGGTCTGAGCGGTTACCGGCAACAACGACTTGTTTGGACCATCCTCTTAGAGCATCTGCAGCTGCCTTCTTGTATTCTTGTGTTAAGGCTGTCGTGGCGGCGTTGGCGTCGACTGTTCTGTTTGCGGGGTCGTCATAGAACTTCTGGACAATGTCCCTGACGCTCTGCCTCATTCTGTCATGCAATTCCATCCGCTCAGCCGGACTCGCGCCCGAGATGCTTTCCTTCGCAGCGATATCAGCACCCTTACGTGCAACATCATTGATCACTCCGAGGCGCTCCTGGTAGACAGCCCGCTCCTTCTCTGAAGCTTCGTGGCTCTCCATTTTGTGCTTGGCGCGGTTCATGCCTAGCATCAACAGACCAGTGAACGTCAATCCAGCCCATGTAATGGGCTGAGAGAGGAAGGCCATGAATTCAGACATCGAGTTGCCGATGTGTGGCTTCAGTGTAGGGCATTGGGCCGAGATTGGAGTATTGGTCTGTCTACCTCCCGGGTCAACAACGCAGTGAAAGCCATCCATCTCACGAATAGTCGAACCAAGCTTGGTGTCAATCGTCGAAGAGAATATGACTATGTACCACTCAGAGTCGGGTTTCACATTCCACCGAACCCAGTTCTTGCTCTGGTCATCTATCAGGACCGTAGGCTTTAGTGGGGGCTGAGATGAGCCTAGGTCCAGAGTTCCAGCAGTACTAACAACTACTTTGTCGGTAGAATCCGGGAAGCCATCTGATGTGACATTGTATGAGCCTGTAAAAGCGAGGAAGATATATGCACTGGCGCCAGTAGTGTCCGGCGTAGTAATCGGTGGGCTAGTTGGAATTGGGCTGGGTGACTTGGCTGGAGTGCTGTTTGGCGCAACTGAAGCCGTGGATGAAGGTGAGAGATTGTCAGTGTTGGTGATGCTGTTAATTTGAGACCCGGTGAGAGAATCATAGCCATATTCTTTCAGAACAGCGTTGATTTGGGTATCCCGAGTGGAAGCATCTGGGGATAAAAGAGCTTTGGAGTAAGCCAGTGAAAAGGGACTCTGAGGAGTGGCCCAATAAGCAGCCTGGAACTTAGCCAGCAGATCGCTATTAGAAACAGAGCAGGCTGCCATCTTGGATATGAGGCGAAGAATGAAATACGACAAGGGATGAGGATGTTTTCTGATCAATATCTTTGCAATTATCATCTTCTTATGGGCCTAGGTTCTGCCCTCGGTAAGCTCCGTGACATTGGCCGACGCCAATGAAGGCATGCAGCGGTGAATCAAAGGGGCTTGAAATATGTTTCGCACTTCAAAGTCAAATGCCAGACCTTGTGAAGCCACTTATTGCAGTCACTCAGCAGATCATAACCAGGTGTTGTAAATAGTTCTCTGCACGTCTGAAAAAGGAGATGGTATACAGTCCAGAAGGCAATAGTCTAAGCCCCTGACGCAGGCGGGGTCGAGATGGTCTTGGGTAAGCAGGTTTTGTTGGCCATACGAGGTCTAGAACGATGTCGATCAATTGATCGCGGCTCTCGGTGTCTTAACCAGGCAGACGTCTCCATAGCCATTTATTGGCTGTAATACGAGATGGCGTCTTGCCTTACCGAATTGACTTTTATATCTGCTTATCACCACTGCTGATCCGATTATCAGATCGCCAGGCTAGGCCAGGGAAAGGAAGACATTGAAAATCTACAGTGCCGAAGCAAGGAAGTATATCAGCCGTGAACGAGTATCAAGGCTTGTACAGACATCGCATGGATCATCTCGCCAATCATATATCTCCACGATCCTCCAAGGTAAATTCGCTTCAGCCCGTTTTCAGCAAGCAAAGCAGATAAGCCGAATGGATCGTTCCGGACCAAGGCGGGATCACCACTGCATTAGCGCTAAGAACGAAAGTTCAGCCCAATTTGCCGCCACTAGTATATGTCTCAACTTCCTGCATGTGACAACTCAGAAATGTCGGGGAAATTCACCGTAGTATGAGAGGATAGGGACGATCAAAAAGAGAGTAAATCTTGAATCGCTTGCCGTCCATTTCTAAACTCTTCACCGCTATCTACCTAAACTCATACTGCTAATCCTGCCTGCTTACTCTTTCCACAATGGCTGATCCTCTCACCACCACCTTTCAACCAAATGATGGCTCTATCCGATGTCAGGTTGACAACACGTTTCTTGTCCTTTCAGCTGGCACGTTCAAGATTGGGGATTCATTGCTAGTCGGTACAGAGGACTCAGCAACACCATCCACGATTCTTATATACGCTGATACGGTTGAGATGACTTCCCTAAGCACCTGGGCAAGTGGCTGTAATATTGGCATCTTCTGCCGCTCGCTCAACTTCAGCGGCCCGTTTCCAAAAGCCTATGTTGAGACTGTTGGGCGCGAGGGTCTTCCAGTCACGGCGCCTAATGCGCCTTTGACAGATGATAACAATGGTCAAAATGGTGGGAATATTAGTGTCTATATCGAAGAATACGATCCAGCAAAGCTTATGCCCACAGACTCCCAAGAAACTGGCCTTTGGCTCAATTCCAGCGGCGGCGATGGGAATGGAGCTAAGTACGGTCCTGGTGGTGGCCCCAACGGTGTAAAAGGCGGGAATGCGGGCCAGATTCAGTTCTCTTATGTTTCGACCGAAAGCGCATTGCTGGGAAAGTTGAACAAGATATACACGGATGCATCGGCCCCATTCCGTGCTCGAGCACAGCAACTGGCGAGCTTGGTGCCTAAGGGCACGACCAGCACGGTTGGACAAGAAGCGAACACATTTGAGAGTAATTGCAAATCATTGGACAGACTCATCACCACTTTGGACCATATAAAGCGCACATTTCGCTCGCTTGTGCCGAAAGACACAAAGCCTCTTTTGGAGTCGGTGAGCAAAGCATCGAAGGATACGCTTACCCACACGGAAGAACCCAGATTTGACTTGGCCACGTACTCAAACTCCTTCAGAGCCTTGGAGACTGCAGCCAAAGCAGTTTCCAGAAGCAAAGTGCAAGCATCTGATGTTCCCTGGGGTAACCTCAAGAACGCTCTCTTGTCCTTCAAGACCACACTCAGCCAAATAGGTTCGGATGATGCCGAAACACAAAACCATCCTGCATCGCCGTTCGCAATTGCCGTCAAGGCCTTGGAGAACTCATTGAGAGGTGTTTTGAGCAGTTTCATTGATCAATTCAATTGCTATAATATGAGCGGTGGAGGTGAGGGACGGAATATGGATGGCTCTGATGAATTTGGCCAAAATTGTGACATTTTCATTCAGGCCATAAGCCCGGACTCGCCAGATCTGTCAAGTCCAGTTGCCTATGTCCATCCAGACCAGTGCCAGATGCTTCTCGATGTGGCCAATCGCACGTACCTTGCCGCTAGCTGCAAGACAGGAAACCAAAACCCCGGTCGATTTGACGAGGCTAGACAGCTATACGAAAGGATCTTCAATCGCCTCTCTTTTGTCCCCCTATTGCAGAGCGACCTCAAAAGCAAGAATTTTCAGCCATTGACCAGAGCCTACGCGCAAATGCAGGCTGCCCAGCTTTGTTTAGATCCCATCTCTGAACTGGCTCACATCCATTTACAGGCAGGTTTATACCTGTCTAATATCTCTCATGGAAAGGACATGTTTGGTCACGGGGGCGACAAGGATGCTGGAGCACGTTGGGTACCACGGTTGCCATATACGCAGTACTCGTCAGCAATCATCTCATCACTTCCTAAAATGACTAAGCTGGCTACCAGTATCGCTGCCCAGGAGGGCACACAGCAGGACACTGATTTCAACAAGAAGCTAGCAATAATCAGCGTTCAAGCCCAAGTCGATACTCTGCAGAAGCAGATTCAACTTGCTACTAGTCCTACTGGACCACTTAAGTCAGCGGAATCCCAAATTCAGCAGTACACACCTGCACTCAAAGCCATGAGATTTAGCATCCAGGATCAGGTGACTACGCTTACTCAGGAAATTGATAGCTCTTGGAACTTCAATCCAACTGATATCATCAACGGCATTACGCAACTTCTATCGAATCCAGATGAGTTGGTGGCAGGTATGGGAATATTCGCGGGGCTTTATAACTCATTCACCACTGTCCAAGCTGACGATAGTGATGACGTGAACAAGCAATACGTCGTGAAGCAGTTTGCCTCTGCCGGCGATGACCTTGGAAAGTTGAATGAAGCCGTAAAGTTGACAGCGAGCGGGACATACTCTGTCGACGACCCTGGAGCGGCGAAGCTTCTTGCTGATGAGAAGACACTCAACGACTTGATTGACAAGTTCTCGAGTGCCCTTGACCCTAACAAGGTGAAGAACATTCACGAAACCCTGCATGAGTTCGCCACTCTTGCGAAACGTCGCAATGCCGCTGTGCTCAAGTATAACACGACAGCTATAATGCTAGTCAAGGCACTACAGAGTCTGGAATACTTTCGCCACAAAAACACCATTCTTTCCAGCCAAAACCTTATGTCAGATACTCATCGAGGGTCACTTCTGCTATTCCAGCTCAAAACATTCAATGCTATGTGCGCAACAGCGTATGAGCTTATATACGAGGCTGCGGGGAGTATGCAATTCTGGACGCTGGACTCGGATGACCAAGTTGACCCGTCTCTGCCAACTGATGGCTTTGACAGCGCCAACACTGTTGAGCAGATTCGATCTTACGTTGAACGATTGAGCAACAAATTTACCTCCTGGCTATCTTCTTATTCTGAAAATCCAGGTCTTATCTTCCCTAACCCCAGTAATCCTCCAGGGCAGACAGCTGGCGGTATAACATGGTTCCTCAGCCAAGACCAGGTCTCTGCCCTCCAGAATACTACTGCCCCCGATCTCTCAAGCAGCACCGACGAACAGGAATATCGAATCATGTTCGTCCTACCCGCACCAACATCTCAATCAACGGATACATCCGGCAGCCCCGACTACAACCCATTCACAGGGTATGCCAACGTTCGTCTTGACCAAGTTCTTGTGTGGCTTTTCGGCGCAACTGTCCAGCCCGATCAAGAAACTCAACAGTGTCGGCTATCCCTGGAAATCTCTCACCTCGGTGATGATTCCATTGTGAGGAATGATGGAAGCACAACGCTCAAGTTCATGCACAGCACGACGCAGCTCAAGTTTGTGTATGATCCTACGAATGTGACTTCATGGGAGGCTGCACAGAAAACAAATCCGATTACTGTACAGAACCTGGATAGTGGTGGTGAAGGTGCTGGACGCGATAGTGCAAGGACGGAGCGAGAGCTATCTGTTGCACCGATTGGCCCATTTGCTACATGGATGTTGACAGTTAGGGAAAGGGAGAATAATGGATTGGATTTGAGCAAACTAACTGGCGTTTGTCTTGAATTCTGGGGTTCTGCACACACAGTGGATGCATCTTGAACTGTATCGAGATTAGGCGAGTCAACTTCCATAGAAAGAAGAGAAATAGTACTCTCCTATGTTTAAACATGTAGGCTGAAAGCGGAAGGTCAGATTGGAGCTGGGATGACGTTTTCCGAGGAGCTCTTGTGATCGTCATCATCGGTTAGCATGTCGCTCCGACAAGGTCGATAAACATTCATTACCTTTGCCCGGTCGCTACTGTACACCATTTAATAGTTCTCAAGTCCAAGTATATAACCCCCCTTAAGCAACGCAGGTGCCAACAAACTCTATCATCAACCACCACTGTGATCGGAAAATAACACAAGGATGTAATGTAAGACATTTAAGCAGTGTCTAAACTCCTCGCTTATAACCATTAGAGTCTTTATCTCTCAGAGAAGTGGCTTGTTGTTTCTAACAGCCAGATTATGTAACTTAGTCTGATATGGCGGCAGTGATGCAATTGAAGTCCATATATACCGAGGTGAGCACCTGATCTACAAGTTAAAACTCAAACCGTGCTCTCTCCTAATATCTCCATAGGAAGATATCAGTCATTTAGTAACTAACGCCCGATTGGAATATGATCTGTTCTCGTTTTGTCGGACCGAAGCCAGGGATATCTTGACTACGTTTCTACAAGGGTGTTAAGGTAGTACTCCTTGGCATTAGGCACTTCACACACCCAATAAGTTGGTGCACCACCACCTGCTTCTCCGCATTCCTCTCTCCACTCCTGTTTCTGTAGCTTGCAGGGAGCTGCAATAATCCTTGGAAACTTTCGCATGGTTACAATACACAGGTGGGGCTGAAGAGGTCGGCGATTTTACCCCAGATAGAATGCGGGTCGGGAGTAAAGCCACGGTAGAAGCAAGGATTCGACAGCCCTTTCCAGTCCCTTCAGTCAAAACTTGACAGCTCCATTAGGAACTGTAACACTATATAAGTCTCGTAGCCAACCTCCTTTAGCACCTTTGACAGAAACAACAATCCCTCAACTTCCACTTACTTTACTTCTCCCAAACCTTTTCGTCTTCATTCACTTTCACCCATCGCAACACACCATGATTACACATCACGATCACAAGGCCTGGTTCATGCCTTATCCTACGAAGCTCTTGGGCCTCGCCTTGATCTCTCTTCTCACTTGCCTCACCCAAGCTGATAACTTCCGTCCTCTTTATCATTCCATCCCAGACCAAAACTGGATGGATGAACCCAATGGCCTCATCAAGATCGGTTCCAAATGGCACCTCTTCTTCCAGCACAATCCCACCGGAATCTTTTAGGGTAACCTGAGCTGGGGCCATGCGACCAGTAGACCTAGGCATATCTAAGAATATAAAAGATTTTATTTTATTTAGATAATAGCTTTCAATCACCTAGTAGGCTTTAAATCGGTTATGGGAATTGAGATATAGTAGCTATAGGGTAGCTAGTTATCTATTAGAGTCGTACTTTACTCCTTGCCTGCTTGTACCCAATTAGATGTTTGTTGAAAATGGACGGTATCCCTGTAATGCGCTCCAGAGCCAATGAACGCCCGTATAACGATTTCTAACCATGATTTGACCCACTGGAACTGTTATCTTATGCAAAGCCTTTCCAAATTAGGCGTGCATAGCTGACATAAGATCACGCCGGATCGCTAAACAGTTAATCCATATAGAGCATTTACGCCGTGCTAATTAAACTTTAATACAATAGAGGCTGATAAGAGTTAACTCTAGTCCTATAGTCTAAAATTAACTCTAGTAGAGTTAATTTTATTAACTTATTTTAAACTTAATAGGGATAATTATTACTAGGGTATAAAGTTAATTTAATAGTATTTTATATATAGCTATAGTATTAATAAGATTTAGTAAATAATTCTAAGTTAATATATAAATAAAAAAATAAGTAAATAAATTAAAAGTAAAGCCTAGTATTAAGAAGCTATAAAGAATACTTTAAGGTCTTATATTTAAGGCTTTTACCTATTTATAATAAGTTATATATTAAGAAACTTAATATTAAAAAGCTATAAGTTAACCTTAAGCTATTATTAATTATATAAGTACTAATATATTTTATATTATAAGCTTATAGTTAAATAAGATATAATAGCTATTAATGTATTAAAGTCCTTATAAAGATATTTTATAAGTATTAATTAAATTATCTAATTATTAATCTTTTAATATTAATTATATCTTAAAATAAGGCACCTTATAAGTTATATTAAAACTTATCTTTTATTTATATTAATAATATATTAATATTATAGCTAATTTACTTATTTAGTTATATAGCCTATTTTATAATTTATTTAATTCTTTTTTATAATAATTAAGTTTAATTATATTAAACTAAGTTATATTAAGTTTATTATTAGTAAATAGTATAAGGTATATATTAAGTATTAATAAAGTATTATATTTTAAAGGTAAAGAGCAACAATAAAGAAAGGACTATATAAGACAATATCTTCTAATACTTCTTAACTGTAAGTTAAGTATAGACTGCTAGTTAGGTTTAATTAAGATAGGGTCTTTATTATTAGATAGAGAATTAAATAATTAGTTTAATGGTATTAAATATAAAGGAAAAAGAATAAGAATTAAGTCTAAAGAAGCCTCTTAAAAAGCATAGGGGAAGTCTTTAGTCTTAAAGGGATATTACTCTTTTATACCTTATTATTATAGATATCTATCTAGCCCTACTAATAAGCTTAGACCTCTTACCCTAAAATGCTTGCTATAACTATTATAATATCTTTTAATAATAAATTTAATATATATTAGGCTTAATTAATATAAAGAAGTTATATAAATAATTAATAAATTAAGTAATATAAAAAAACTAATAAATATAATTTATATATAAGAAATAGCCTTATAGCTTAATAAGAAATAAAAGTAATTTAAGGGCTAAATCTTTAAGGATTATAAGTAAGCTATAATAATTTATTTTTAAAGTATTATAATTTAAGTAATTTAATAAAAGAAAATTATTATTAAAGGAAATAATTTTATATTGCTTAATAAAATTTATAAGGGCTATATAATATAGCTATATAAATTATAATATAATATTTCCTTTTTATTAAGTTTTATTTTTAAAATTTATATATATATTTTTAAGTTTATAAGTTAGCCTTAAAAGGTATATTTAAGTATCTCTAGAATTTAATATAATTTAAATATTTATTACCCTTATAGCTAGTAAAACTTTATTAAGTTAAATTATTATAATTAGCTACCTTAATTACAGCCTAAACGTAGCTGCATATATGCCAGCTAAAAAGCCTTACCTGCTTATCAGCTAGCCCCGACCTTCTTCCTACAACCTACCTGAAAGGCACGCTTCTATCATCCATCACGCAGTAAGTCATCTGACCCGACTTCTGACCGCAACCGCTAACAGCATTATAGCTGCATCGTCACGATGTCTGCTATCTGAAGAAGCCTGCAGCCACCTAATAAGTCCTTTTATACTAAAATGCCTAACTTAATTCCTTATTTTATAATAGCTCTTAAAGACTATAAATATAAAAATAAGCTTTATATTATAGTAATAAAGATTAAAAAGACTTAAAATAAAGAAAATAATATTACTTTTATTAAGTAAGCTATTTTAGGCTATAAGGTTTTTTTACTTATATATTATTATTATAAAAAGCTAATAATCTCTAAAGGCTACCTTAAAGAGGAGATTAAGCTATTATAAAAGCTAGAGTAATCTCTTATAGTAAGAACGCTTATAGAGGTAAGTAATAAGGGATTTATTAAAGACTTTAAAATAAGAACTTTAATTAAGAACTTATATAAATAATAGCTTAATAATATAAAGAAACAGTTAATAGAGCTAATAAAGGCTATAAAGCTAATTAATAGCTAGTAAAGATTAGGCTAGTTATAGCCTTGGATTATAAGAGTATAATTAAGATAAGGGGGATGGCATACCGCGATGTAGATGGAAGTGGGGTAATTGCGGGGTTCTGTGGAAGAAATGTATTAAGTTTTATATAAGTTTAAGTTACCTAAAGTTAAAGACCTAAAGTTATAAATTTAGTATTAATAGCAAAAAGAGGATTAAATAAGTAATAAGATAGGCTATATAACTAAATAAGTAAATTAGCTATAATATTAATATATTATTAATATAAATAAGGGATAATCTTTATTATAATATAATACTTTTTTTTTTCTTTTAATTATTTTATTAAAAAGTAAAATAATTAATAAAGGCTTAAAATTATAAGAAGTATTATTTTATTTTATTAAAGTCCTTTATTATATTAAGGTAAGTTATGTAAAAGTTAAGGAAATAAAAATTATAAAAAAAGGTAATAATAAGATTATAAAATAAAAGCTAAATTAGTAAAATAAATTATAAAATAAGAATTCAAAGTACTTATATTTTCTTATAAAAGCCTTTAGTAATATATTACTTATAATAATATATATTAAAGTAATTTTAATACTTATTATTACTTTTATTAAAAGTAATATAAAAAGCTATTTTATTAAGGGCTTTATTATAATAATAATTATAATTAAATTAGTAAAAGTAAAATATATATTTAAATTATAAAATAACTTATATAAATTAATAAGGAAGAGAGTTAATTAAAGTAAACTTAACTAAGGGATTTAATACTTTAAAGAATTTAAAATTAAATATAATAAATAAAAATATAAAAATTAAAAAGCTATATAAAAATTAAAAAATACTATTTAAAAGTTAATAAAAAAGCTTAAATTTTAAAAATAAATTTAATAAAAAGAGTTATTATATAAAAAAAAAATTATATATTAAGTAATTATTATAATAGCTAAAGTCTACGTGTCCCGGTATTAACTACTAGATCCGGCATTGCGTGCCGCTGCCTCTAGTGGTTAGAACTGCGGCCCCTCCTGCCCTATGCTATCCCCCCTCAGCCGCCTCTTCCCTATTATCTCCCCTGCTCAAAAGGGCGATATAAGCCTGCCCCCTCTGCCCTATATCTAGGCGGCATGGATAGGTGGTAC